GTAATAACTAGATGTTTCCTAGAATCAAATTACAAAAGTAGGGAACAAGATTGGTCTGACAGAATCTCAAATTGCAACGCTACAATAAAGCTAAGAAAATCAACTAAATTAATTAAAAGAGTATAAATTAAATAGGAGGGTTGTGAATAGCCCTAACAATTTTTAAAGTGTTACAATAAAGCATGCAAATAATTTGTAATCGTAATGGTTCTCTTTAAATTCTACACTGCAGTACAACTGTGTTTAAAAATATTGATAATACTATACTTTTTTTAATCTCTGTCAAATAATATATTGTATATGGCTGTCTCCTTTTAATTAAAAGTTTTACACATCCTTGTTTTGCAAACAAAAAGTTGTTTATTATTTTATTAATGTCTTTGACTAATTAAATTTAACTTTCAAATCTTGAATTGTCAAAATGTAAAGACCAGAAGTTTATTGTAATTTGAACGCAAGAACAAAAAAAAAATAATAATAATATAAATTAAACCCAATACATAATGCAGCATTCTTAGAAATTGATAGTAGTATTGGATAACATGACCTAACGTTATGTGTGATAAAACTTTTACAAGAATAACGTTTTAAAAATCAATTTATTTATCAAGCCCTTTGGGCGAATGCAGGAGAAATTTCTATTTCTGCCGAAGAAAGCAAAAATGTTAATTTGAAAGCACAGAGAAAGAAATATTTCTATAAAAGTTTCAAACAGGATCAAAGATCACTTAGCAATTAAAAAAATTATTTAGATTATTTTGTATAAAAAATGTATCCCTTGATCAGCTTTCATAATTTAATCATTCAAATTGACGGTATGATTCTAACAACTAGAAGCCTAAAGAGGGACCAACATGGGAACATGTTAAAATGCATGACATTAAGCAATAAATAAATCTCACATCTTTAACATTTTAACACCAACCCTGGATTAGAAAGAAAAAAAAATTGCAGTTGACAAATTATTCCGAACACAACAAATCAGTAAGAATGACAAAATTGCTTATACAATCACAACTTCACTCAACATAAATTGAATAAAGTATTCAACGATATTCAAATAAACAAAACTGAAGGACACACTCTGCAACTGTCGATTTACTTGTCGATTAGATATTGGGACATCTGACTTCCGTTTATTTTAAAAATTTACATTAAGAAGGAAGTTGAGAAATATTGTATAAAATATAAAAATATTTTTTTAAAAATCCAACATGCAAGTTAATGTTAGTTCTATAAAAGAGAAAAACCATATGGACAAATATTTGTGCCCAGTTCTGCACCGCCCAACATAAATAATCAACATAATCTATTTTAATTTCACTTGGAAATCAGTGGCGTCCAGGTGCCTTGGTTTATTGTATGGATGATGAAAAAAAAATTAAAATAAAAAGTCCAAAAATGGTTGTAAATATGCTTACTTATTTATTGAAATGGTCACCTCTTAAATATAGAATAAATTCATTGCTACAACTAAACATTTCCAATGTTCTATGATATTTGTATCATTATGTTAAAATATGCTATTTTTTATTTTTTAAGTGTTTGAAGGGAAAGATATATTTATACAATTATTACATCTTGGTTTCAATAGTAAATTATATATTAAGCAATTAATATATATATTGTTGTTTTCCTTGTTGTGTATATATTGTATATTGTTGTGTTCCAACTGATCTTTTCCTCGGTCAAACTTTTTTTTTTCATTTGTAAAATGATAAAGAAATAAACATAATAATGCAAGATATAGATGTAATTTCAAAATAAATAAATAAATTATAAAATAGAAAATTTGTTCCTCATCCTAGCCCATCTAAGTTTTTTTTTCTCTCTCCAAATTGTAGTTGTTTTAAAAACAGAAACAATAAAATCTAGCCAAGTTAGCATAAAAGTCGTTATTAGTGATAAGAAAGCAATTCATGAAACTTTGATAACATTTCTACAATATAAATAAATAATAACTGACAAGAATAAATCGGACTGATATCGCTGGGAATTAATCATATTTTCCTGTATGGTGATTCAACATTTACAACGATATTGTTTAGTTTTGCATTATTATATTCAAATTTCAATAGTTCAGTTTTCATTTTTCCCCAATCTTCAAAACTTTTGTGATGGCTAGGTTTGATTTGTACTGTACATTTCTTAAATTTGCTATGACAAGGTACAAGCAAATTTTGATTTGTAATTCTTTTTTAATTAGTATATAAATTCACATCCTCCTGCCCCATAAGTCAATAATTAACTATCAAATAAGGAAATTTAGTTGTCTATATTTCAAACCTTTGATTATAACATGAGATTTGCCAACTTTGATAATTAACTTTTGATTTCAAACAACATGATTATAAACTAAATTTGTGGCCTTAATGAATATGGATTGCTAAAAGCAATTTAGTTCATTTCACAAATAGCGAGAACTTTTGCTTTACTGTCCTTCTAAAAAAAAAATACAAAGATTTGCATTGAACAAATATATCAGTATTGTTTACTGTTTAAAAGGTGCCTTAAGAAATTTGAAAAATTATAAAATAACAATAAAAGCGAACTGATACTACAGGCCTCCATTCATGCGGAGTAATTTAACTCAAATCATCTGCCTGCTGGATTGAGCTAGTAATCAATTGTTCTCAGAATAGTTATTTAAATAATTTTAAATTTATTTATTTATACAGAAAAATATGTAAATTTTTCATGATGTACATAAACGTACATCATATTATAGCCACCATAATATAAAACTGATTACAGTATATTATATTTTAGGATTTTCCTGATCCTAGTACTAACTGTGAGGCCCTTTGCTTAACCATGTTTGTTGTATAATACTACTTAAAATCTATCGAGTATTTACAATTTATAGACTTTTTATTTCAATTTATTTGTTTATCATCATAGTGTATAATACTATCAACAAACTTATTTTATTTGAAAAAAATTCAAATATTCAAAAAGAAATTTCACAGATGGCATTTTAGGTTTGAGTTGACATTCCAAACCTTGGGCCTCCTGGATGATTTGTTATCTTGGTAACAATCTTAACGCCAATTGTTTTTGCTCAATTGCTGACTTTAATCCCAACAAATTTGTACAGAGGTCAGGTTGAAAAAGCTCATGATAAAAGATGCTCTTCCAATGTCACCAATTCTATTAACTTTTAGAATAAGTAAAACCATTGTCAGTATTCATTAAACCAAAAACCAAGAGACTATACCTAAAAAATATCCATAAATAATCATCGACTAATTTCATTTGTTACTGTAAGCAATAATCCACTTTCTAAAAGCATTATTTAATTTTGTTTTGATTCTTTCCAATCAGCAGTTAGAAATTTCAAGCTCAAATTGAAGTTATTACTGCAGAAAGGGTCAGAAACTTATCCACTAATTTTTAACTATTAAAAATTCTCTTAATTTTTAGACAAAGTCAAGCATGTTACAAATAAAATATGCCAGTAATTATGGATAATTACTGGCATATTTTATTTGTTGCAATGGGCGATAATCAGTTTTATAAATGTATCATTTACTTTGTTTTGATACTTTAAAGTCAGCAGTTGGAAAATTTCAAGCTCGAATGGAAGATATTACTGAGGAAAGGGTCAGAAACCTATCCGCTAATTTTTTTAACTATTAAAAATTTTCTTAATTTTTAGACCAAGTAAAACGTGTTAGCTATTCAAGAAGCAAAAAATATGAACTAATCCTTAACAAATGTTCATAATTTATAATTGACCCATTTTCTTTTGATTGAAAGAATGCTATGTAAATAATATGGAATGTATTTAAGAATGAGTGAGAGTGTGAATGGGTTTGGAACTGCATGCGGTTGGGTGATGAATTGACCTAGCTGTTGACAGACTGGACGGATAAAACCGCCTTCTGCCCTCCAACTACCAGCACCCGGGGTAGGTGATTCTCAAGACCTGCCAGCAATTTATTGTAAATTGCAAAAGCTAGAATAGCTCGTGGACTACAATGATAGGCTCGACTCTGAACATGTGCAGATTTGAGCCTATACAAATCCAAATCTAATTACTCCTTTTATTTGTTACTATTAGCAACAATTAGATTTATAAATGCATTATTTACTTTGTCTTGATGCTTTCCTGTGTGGAAATTTAAATAATGAGTGAAATAATACAAGTGGAAGGTTTGTAATTTTAAACTTATCCACTTTTGGCATTTCCGTCTGTAGTAATTTGACCCAATTTATACACATTTTGTATTTACTTTAAGATAAAAGTTATGTAGTACCATAAGTTATACTACGAGTAACGGGGGGGTTGGTATTTTATATTACAGTTAGGTCCTTTTTAGGTTGGGGTGGAGGACTTGTTGACATTACCAACCTGGGGCCGCCTTTCGGTGGAAATAGTCTTGACTGTTTTTTTTTTTTTTTTAACTAAACTTTCTAACTTTTATTTTTTACGTTTTTTTTTTTTTTTTTATTGTTATAATCGACCTTGGTGATCATGAACGGTATCGTCGCGCAGATACGGAGCGTACTCTCATGGAAATCATGAATGGGGAAAGGCCTGCGCCCGTTACCTACTAAACTAGCTTTTTCTTCTTAAAAAACAAAAAACCTAGTTTTTTGACTGGTTCTGTTTATTTTTAAAAACCTTCCTAGGGGGCGACAGTTTTTTTTTCTTTTCTCTTTCAGGCTGTGGAATAACGTAAACAAAATTCCATCGGGCGTTTACGTAACACAAACAAATCTCTACGGATAAACAAATGGAAATATCTTTCCATTTCGAGCACCGGGTTTTATTATTATTACTATTATTATTTTTAACCAGCATTTGGGGAAAATATAGAGAGTTGCAATTTGGAAAAGTTGTGTTTTTCTGTTTTGGATGAAAATCAAGTTAAAATTTGATTGGAACTTTGCGAAAAATAAATAAAAGACAACAATATTTTGTTATGGGTAAATTTTCAGAGTGGAGTAAAAATTAAGACTTGATTTTTAACACAGTGGTTTTTTTTTCTTCTTACCTCCAGGGGGTTGGACTGGAAATAGTGATTTTCTTGTTGGTGATGATCGTTGAAAGCACCAAGAACACAAAATAAAGTGTAAACTGTTCAAACTGTGCTACACAGACACGGTTTGTCTGCTGAAAGGGTGGCGTTGCCGACTAACGCAAGGTGACCCCGACGACTGGCTCTGGCCTCTGGCGGCGAGCGGTTCTGAACACGGACGGCAGCACCCTCGGCTCCACCCACCGGGGACGCGGCCGCAACGGAGCGCCGTTCGATTTCCCAGTTCGGCCCCGGCTTTTCACGCTTTTCCCACTTTCCTTTTTGGCCTTTTTACGAATGTTTCTCTAATGAGGAATACGGGGTTCGGTAGACGGCCGTAGTTTTACGGAGGAGGACCTCACTCGACAGTGGACACTAGATCGGCCTTCCAGGTCGGAGTTTTATTACGGGACGGCGACGATCGATAGCGGCTTTTCGCCGAAACGGCTTCAAAATTCCCAAGGAAGATCTGCAAATTTGGCGGATCTCTTATGATCCGTACAAGGAAATGAACAGGAACCTCCGTGCCTAATCAATACAATCACCGCCAAAATTCAATTCTTAAGCTTCTTGACAAGGTCACGAACAGGAGACAAAAGATTATGCTTAGAAGAGAAAACAGGAAAACAACCAAATGGGAGAAAGAAGAAGTCCTACTTATCAGAAATGAATTAAAAACTGGTATATTTGCAGGACAAGCTACAGTAAAGTTCCACTTTAAAAATATCGAACTATTAACAGTTGTGCAATGACAATTATTGTTTGATAACTACCTATCATCTTGGTCCGCGTATCCTCACTGATTTTTGCCAGTCTGATACGTTTTGGTTGTTAGAACTCTAAAGAAATCACCCAAATATTGAAGATGGTGACTAACAACTATCAAACTATAGCTTTATCACCCTGCAGACCATAGATGAAAATCTCACAATGTCGATTATGTCTAGATGAAACAGAATAGCTAAAAGACTAGACATGATATCAACCCAATAAGAGAAATAGGAAATCCTATTCAACAGAAAGAAATTAAAAACTAACTGGCCTTGATACAGAAAAGTACCACCTTAAAAACATGGAACTATTAACAGTTGACCAATGTCACTTATTATTTGATTATTACGTATCATCTTGGTCTGCCTATCCTCTGATGTCTGTCTGGCTGATTCATTTCAGCTGTTGTAACTCTTCAGAAACCACCCATTCACTGAAGATGGTGATTATGAACTATCAGACAGTAGCTTTATCACCCTGAAGACCACAGGAGGAAATCTCACAATGTCTAGAAGAGACTGAGACAACAGAATAGCAAAAAGACTAGTTCTAAAATCATCCAAATGGTAGAAATAGGAAATCCTATTTTACAAAAAGAAATTAAAAACTAACTGTACAACTAACAGGACATGCTACAGTGAAGTACCACCTTAAAAATATGGGACTATTAACAGTTGTCCAATGTCAATTATTGTTTGAAAATTACCTATCATCTTGGTCTGCCTATCTTAACTGATTTTTGCCAGCCTGATGTGGTGGCTGTTGAATCACCCAAATACTTAAGATGGTGACTATCAACTATCGAACAGTAGCTTTGTCACCCTTCAGACCACAAAAAGAAATCTCATAATGTTGATTATGTCTAGAAGAAACAGAACAGCTAAAAGACTAGTCGTGAAATCAACCCAGTGAGAGAAATGGGAAATGCTATTCAACAGAACAAATCACATACTAACAGGACATGCTACAGTAAAGTTCTACCTTAGAAATATGGGACTATTAGCAGTTATAGAATGTCAATTATTGTTTGATTACTACTTATCATCTTGTTCTGCCTATCCTCACTGATTTTTCCCAGCCTGATATGTCTTGGCTATTGTAACTCTACAGAAATCACCCAAACATTGAAGATGGTTTCTACACAACTATCAAACAATAGCTTTATCATCCCGTAGAACACATGAAGAAATCTCAACATGTTGATTATGTCTAGAAGAGACAGAGACAACAGCTAAAAGACTAGTTATGAAATCAACCCAATGGGGTAAATAGGAAATTACATTCAAAGGGAAAAAAATTAAAAAATAACTGGACAACTAAAATGCTACGGAAAAAGGAATTAAAAACTAACTGGTATGTTTACAGGACATGCTACAGTAAAGTACACCTTAAAAATATTTGCCTACGATAAAATTGACTTTGATCTTGCCCTCCAAAAAGTCACTTATATTAACATTGCACTTATTGCAAATGTGCTGTTCGTTGTTATACGAAAAGACCCTTTTTTTAAATGACATTTTTCAGAGTAATATCTGTAAATCTGGAGGGTGGCACATTTAAGAATGAGTTTAGGAATTTGTTAGTGAAGAGCTTAATTATTCTTTCAATAATCTTATCCAACCACAACCCCCAAGAGCCCCATAACATAAATGTAATATGGAATTGAAAATTTTCTATTTGATGGCAAATGGTAAATCCTTGTGTAAAATAATTTTAATAAAAGCTGAAAAACTTTTTTAAAAAGTTCTTTCTGCTTTCTTCTTGAAATGCCTGAAAATAGTGTAATTCTAAAATTTTATTTTTTACTATTTCTATATTTTTGGTTTTGTGTTAAAAATTTTCTGGCCTAGTCAGCCTGCCATTCTTCCTAAAACTATTACATTACATTTCTTTAGGTTGACCTCTGGATTCCAGAATTAGTAACAATTTTTCTAAGAAATTTATAATTTTTTGTAAAGTAAGTCTGTCTGACACCAACAAGACTAAGTGCTTATTACTAATAGCTGGGTTTATTTCCTATTTTGACTCCACCATCCAAACAGTTTTCAACGTCATTTTGAAATAATGAGAACAGCGATGGGCTTAAAAAACATCCTTGCTTTACCACCTATTTGCTGAATCTAGAGAGATGTTGACGTTCTTTCATATAACACTCTTAGAGTACGTAACATCTTACTGGACATATTCGTAATTATAAGTATTCAGTCAATGGTTAATAGAGTCAACAGGCACAGAAAAGGCATAAACCTTTGGAGCTTGTACTAAATGATTATTGAGCAACCAACTCTTCACAACAAAACATTTAAACCAGACAGAATTCCTATGAAAAAATTGAATATGTGCTACAATATAAAACATGAGATGATAGAAATCATTCATTTATTTCAATTAACTGAACGCATTCATGTAATATAGGATATTGTTTTCTTCTCATTTTGTCTAGGCACGCTTTAAAACATACTTTCAACATTGGTGCTTTAAAAGATCGAAATTTCAACATTGAATTTAAAACTGCATTATTCCTTGTAACAAAGGTCAAGAATGCTTCAGGCTACCTAAAAAAGACAGCAACTGGCATTTTGCCAAATAGAATTTATACCTGTCATCTTAAAATTCTTTCTGAAAACAGTTTCTTTAACATTCATTCGATTTTCCTTGTTAATTCTAGTAGCCTGTGCCATTTTCAGGTAAGGGATTGCGTTCGACACAAGGGTGTTTTCCCTTTGCAGAAGGCGACAAAGTAATAAAGCACAAAAACCTTCCAGTAAGTATCAATCTTTTGAACAGGTATAAACGAAATCGCTTGTCTTTGGTTAAAAGTTAGGTTTTTAGTTTGACTATGTAACCTTAAAGGTAGGCGTGCCCTGAGTTGATAAGCACTAATCTTTGCTTCATATGTCTATTGTCTCATTAGATGACTGAAAGTGAATAATCATTGGTACTCTAGTACTCCACGAATCCCTTCTAACTCGTCAAATAATTAGATATAAATTAATGACTAATTGTCTATCTTGTAAATTCCTGAAAAAACGACGTTTCTTTTCTTGTAATTATTTATTGTAAATTCCACGTTAATTTCGCACGGGCAATAAAACAACTTGAGTGGAGTTTGAATTTTTGCAAAAGTCATTAACAAGAACATACTAACGACTATAATTTTTAAAAAATCCGGATAATCATTTATACTGTTTACTAGCTTTACAAAAGATTTTTTGCATTTGATAAGTTGTTTTTACCTATTTGAGATGTTCAACTAAAATGTTTGCTCAAGATAGATTCAACATATACATTTTATTCAGTTTTGAGTTTGGCAGTAAACATTTTTGCCACTCATGTTAGATTCCACATTTCGATGGAATGTTGACTTTTTCATATGAGATTGTCATTAATGTGTGGTGTTTAGTACTGTTAGCCAATGATTATTTGGAGATCATGAGATGCCACACCAGACCGCATCTCACGATCTCCAAATAATCATTGTTATTAATGTTTTCTTTCATATTTGTTCTGCATTTTTTTGTTAGTAAAAATGTTTGCTTTGTAGTTAGATTTCAAATTCTACGGATTTTTTTTTTTTTTGCATTTTGAAATAAGCAACAACAAATTTTTTTAGTTTGTTGAATTCAAAATTTCTATGGAAGAATTTCTTTTAATAATTGGCAACAACTCAAGTCTATGGAGTTTTGGGATTTGGATATCGTAAATTTTTCTCTTGTTCGATTTTGCATTTATTTGAATTTTTCTTGTAGGTGATTGACTCAATTTGGATTCCACATTTCTATGGAATGTTGAAATTTTTATACTTTTTTTTTTTTTGGTGGTTCAAGATTTGCCAAATATTTGGAACCAAATGTTCCTACTCATATTGGCTCCCAATTTCTATGTAATTTTGGTTTTATTCAATTTAATTTTCACTATGTTTTCTTATATTTCGACCTCAACAGTTTAACTTATAATTTTTCCTTCTTGAAGGTTGGATAATAGGACATCTCAAAAAAACCGCAACCAGTTTTTATCCACAACATTTCAGATTTATTTTAATCCTTCCTCAGGTGAGTTAATGCAATGGTTAAAACAGTGGTCGCCAGTCATTAATATTTCATAACATTTTATTTAAAAAAAGAGACAGTGTGGTACATATTTAAGTCTTTCAGACCCCGAACAAACATTTTAATATTTTGAACCTATTATAAAATATTAATGACTGACGACTACTGTTTTAACCATTGTGTTAACTCACCTGAGGAAGGATTAAAATAAATCGGAAACGTTGTGGATAAAAACTGGTTGTGGTTTTTTTGAGATGACCTATTATCCCACCTTCAAGAAGGAAAAATCATAGATTAATTTTCACTGCAAATATTTTTGACATTCACGTTAGATAACATTTCTATGGAATGTTGACTTTTTTTGTATGAGATTGTCGATGTCTTCTTTCATATTTGATCATGCATTTTTTCTGTTGGTTGTTGTCAAGATTGACCAGTAAAATTGATTTATTTTTAGTTAGATTCCTATTTTCTATGAATTTTTTTTACATTTTGAGATGAGCAACAACAAAGTTCTCTGTTTGTTGGATACCAAATTTATATGGAACTTTGGAATTTCTTTTAAATTGGCCACAACTCAATTCTATGTCGTTTTGGATTTTGTATATTATATTTAACAATTTCTTTCTTGTTCAATTTTTCATTTCTATGGAATTTTTCCTGTTAGTGATTGACACAATTGGCCAATTGTTTGGTAACAAATATTCTTACTCATATTAGACTCCATATTTCTATCCTTTTTTAAAAAAGGATTGAATACCGCACTCATTCCATCATTCACCATTTCTATCCACATTTCTATGTAATTTTTGTTTTATTCAACTTTAATTCAACTGCAAACATTTTTTTGCCATTCATGTTGGATTCCACATTTCTATAGAATGTTGGCATTTTTTATATTTTTATATAATTACACCTTTTTTTCTGTTAGTGTTTTTCAAGATTTGCCACTTTTTGGCAGCAAACAATCTCATTCATATTAGATTCCACATTTCTATGGAATGCTGACTTTTTCATATTTGAAATTGTCATTAATTTGTTCTTTTATGTTTGATCCTGCATTTTTTTTTCTGTTGGTTGTTAAAATTGGTAGTAACAATGTTTTCATTATAGTTAGATTCCTTTTTTTTTTTAACATTTTGAGGTGAACAGCAACAAAGTTTACTGGTTTACTACATTTCTGTGGAATTTTGGATTTTTTTTAAAATTGGTCCTGTTGGTGATTCACACAATTGGCCAGTTGTCTGGCAGCAAATATTCTCACTCATATTAGACACCACATTTCTTCAGAATTTTTGGTTTAACTGTTTTGAAACTGTCAACAATAATGTTTATTCTTATGTCAAATTTCACAATTCTATAGTTTTAGAGTTTTCATATATGACATCTGTTGGGGGGAGCCACGATGATGAGGGAAAGTCTTACTTCATCTTCCTCCCTTGGCCATCTACTTCAACACTTCGCATACCTTTGAATTTCACAAGCTTTAATCCTCAAAACTTATATGACTGTCGCCACATTCTTAAACAACTGTAGCTCTAGTGTATGACGTCTATTCTTCTTCTTTAATGTTTGATTACATTTCTATGAATATTCCTGTTGGTGATTGTCAAGAATTGCGAGTTGTTTAGCAGCCATTGTTCTCAATCATATTTGATCCCACATTTCTTCAGATTTTGGGTTTTTACTATTTTCAAATTTACAACACAATGTTTATTCGCCTGTCAAATTACACAATTCTATATATTTTTAGATTTTTCATATATGATGTCTCTTCTTCTTGTTTCATGTTTGATTCTGCATTTGTATATTGTTTTTGTGAATTTCTATTTTTTTTTTCTCTTAAGTTGAAATGTGCAGCAATGATTCTTTCTCCCATGTTGATTTTAAGTGAAATGTCCTTGGCACAGAAAATTTAAATAGCAGGTTCCTTTCTTCTTTGTAAGTTTTATCAGTATAGAAGCTTTTTTGTCTGTTGTTTTCCACGTAAATTCACAAAGAGTTAATTTATGATATAGAACTAATGACTCAAGTAATCGTATATGACACAACAGTAGTGGATTAAGTATTACTTAATTGATTTTTACCGCAGTGTTTTACATTCTAGATTATTACAGGCTAAGCACTAGTCTCATCGCTAAATAATAAAAATATAATAATCATAATATTAAAGGATATGAAATAGCAAAACTTAAATGATCCCTTTTTAAATACAAATAACTTTGATCCATCATTGTATCAATGATGCTAACATATTTATTTTTCATTTTTAATCAAATTCAACTTTTAAATTTAAATAAATCCAATTTATTTTCAAATCAAAAATCTATAAATCCTTATCACCCCTTCCTTGACTTACTGTTTCTATAAATATGAAACGATTAGCCATCACTTCTGTTCCACCGATTGCTTTAGTCTCTAGATATTTAATTATCTTGAGAATATCAAGTCTCTAAGTGTTAAAAAAAAATTTAATTTGATTTTTAATTTGAATTACCTTTTTATCACAATCTGGCATATTGTGACAGTTTGTTAAACTAATTATTGGTTTTTTCTTATTTGCAGTTATGTAATTGCATTTCAGTCAGATTTTATTCAATAGCCGGCGGTTAAAAATATTAGAGTTATTAAAGTTCATCATGAATTTAGCATTACTTTTGTCAGTAAGTACTATTTAAAATCTAGAAACAATTTTGTGTTTGATATATCTATATTAGAAATTCGAAAATTTACTTACATTTGTCCAACAATTTATTGGTAACTCAATTGTTTGTTTTTTTAATAATATAATTAAATAAGAGTTTAATTACAGATAGCTTTTTTACTTTATTTCTGTGTGACTGTTGATTCTTCAACGTCTAGACCTATTATTGGAGTCCTTGTTCAAGAGACAAATCCTACAATAAAGAAATACTATCATAATGCTAAGAGCTATGTGGCTGCTTCTTATGTCAAAAGTATTGAAGGATCTGGGGCAAGAGTCGCTCCAATTTTTATTGGCCAACAAGAAACTTATTATGAGTATATTTTTTCTTTTTACACAAACTAAAAAACAAATCTTGCAAATATTCACTCTGTTTCTTCCTTTCCAGCAATATTGTTTCTTACATAAACGGCCTTTTACTGCCTGGCGGCAATACTTTTTTTAACAATACCAATGGATACGCTGATGCAGCTCATATGTTGATGACAAAAATTGTCAGTTTTCTTTTCTCTTTTTGATTTAATATCTTTGATATTTTATTAATGTTTTAGCGTCGAATGCCATACTTCCCAGTGTTGGGAATTTGTCTCGGATTTGAAGTACTCCTCTATTCGGATTGTAATAAGAGCGAAAAGAGCAGAGAGCCTTGCAAAAGTTTAAATACACTGTTGCCATTGAATTTCAAACCAAATTATAACGATAGTTTATTATTTGAACACGCTCCAAGTCAAATCATTGATATTTTGAGAACAAGTAAAACCACGTACAACAGTCATATGTGAGTTTTGACTTTTTAACCTGTTGTATTTTGTAAAAATAATATTTTTATTTTATATTTTTTTCAGTTTCTGTGTTACTGAAAAAGTTTTACAAACTTGTAACCTACAAGATAAATGGAAAGTGTTATCTACTAATTTAGATATAAATGGGAAGGAATTTATTTCAACCCTCGAATCAACTTCACTCTCTATTGCTGGGCTACAGTTCCATCCAGAGAAAATTTACGAATGGAAGAAGAGTAAGAATTACCCACACAGTCAGGATTCAATAACTGCTATGAGATATTTCTTCGACTGGCTCGTAGACCACGCAAGAAAAAATTCTCATGCTTTTCCTTCCTATGAAGCTGAACTGGATAGTTTAATTAGCAACTATGATAAAACATTCACTATAGAAAATCTCATTTATGACGAACTTTATTTATTTAACAAAGGTTAGAATTGTATTACTGTGAGATGTTACTACTTTCTGAGTGATTTTGTTTTGTAAATAATTTTGCACAAATTATATTAAAGTAATGCTTGCTTGCTTTAGTGCATTCAACAACTCCTTTGTGCATCCTTTCCTTTTTACATTTTATATTAAATAATGCTTTGTTTTAATTTTTTAACAGCTTTTCTAAATTTTTTACAATTATTATTATGCAAAATTAATATAATAAATTGCACTTTTTAAAATACAGAATTTAGCTTATTTATTTCATGATTCAATCACCACTACTTAGTCACTGATGGTAAGTTTTAATTTTAATTTGACCAATAATTTTAATTAAACCACCAATAAATTAATCTTACGTGAATGTAATTATAATTATTACTACATTTTTCTGATGTATTTCACTTGACATAAAACTAAATTGTTGTAGAGAATGAATCGACTGATGGAAGTGACAACGATGGCGTTTGTATAGCCTGCAAAAAAGTAAATGCAAGATCTCAAGAGAAACGAAAATCAAATTTTGATAACAAAGATCCATTTTATAACCAATATAATCTGGAAAGTTGCAACAAAGAGCTTAGCTTTACAAATGGTTAAGAATATTATGCCAAAATGTATGTTTTTCCCTGCATTTTGAGTGATGCATATTATTAATAATAATGTTGATTATGTGTTTGTTTGTAATTTTTTATTATAACAGTATTATTTTGAGAGGAAAGAAGTATTATTGACATATTGTATGATTCATGTGTATATTTTAAAAAAATTAATAAGCATGATTTTGTAGCTTGATCATGCCCAATCATTTTGGTCTGCCTATCTTTGCTGGCTTGGTCTGTCAGATTTAGTAGTTAATTTTGGTTTTAATTGTTTATCAGAATTAGCTACCCCAACATTGAAAATGGCAAAAAGTCTGACTGGCCAAAACAGCAACTTAGGCGACCAAAATGAAAGGAAACAACCAAGCTGTAAAATCATCACAAAAGAAATACAATTGTCTTAAAAAGACCAGACATTTTTTATTTTTATTATCTACATTTTTTTATCACGTTGTTTAAATAATGGAACAACTTTTATTTCATTATTCAAAAGCAAACTCTAATGTACAATGATTTAGGTTCCCAGTCAAGTATTTTTATATTTTCAAAATCAAATAAATGGTCGATTTTTTTTTTTCTATGCTTGGAAAGAGCTGAACCTTTTATATCTGGGATTCTGAGTCTGCACTGTTTGCTTTGTATTCTGTATTTATATTATTTGTTGCTGTTTAATTTTTGAAAGCAAATTTCAAATTGAGTCAATTTATTTATTGTGATTTTACGTCTTTCATTATAATAATAGTATTATACTCTACTGTCATATTAAATTAATTATTTATATTACAAATTAATTATTTATATTACAAATTAATTATTTATATTATAAATTAATAAATAAATTTATTCAATAATTGTTTTGATTTTTTTCTCAAGTATTCATAAAATAATTCACTCCACCTCAAATAATGATTTAAAAAAAAGGACTAGTTTAAGGATACAAAAGCGAGATTTTACCATAAAATATAACTAGTACTGTTGACTATTATTCCTAGTCATTCATGTAACTCATTATTACATGTCTACTTACAATTTAACAGCACGCTAGTTTTGGTAAATTTACAGCCATCATTTTCTAAATGTTTAATTTTAGTAAAAAATTTCGACATGATAGTAGAGTAGTAGACATTTTTATTGACAAAACACCAATGTGCAACAAATTTGACCTCATTTTTCAGTATTGTAATGTAAGTACATGGTAAATGTTAAATAGGCCAAAATATGTCCTTTTTTTTTTTTTTCCGAATGCAGGGCCGCTGGATTCGAACCCGGGACCTTTACCTTACAGTGATGAGCGCCGTGTCAAAGACTAAACCTTGCGGCCACCGACGCCCCCTAAATATCAGTCCTAATGTAATATGTTTTATCTGTTTTTAATACGTAACATTTATTTGAAATATCTATGGTATAATTTAGATTCCCAGTCAAGTATTTTTATATTTTCAAAATCAAATTAATGTCTTTACTTGGATAGAGAACCTTTTCTATCTGGGATTCTGAGTCCACACAGTCTGCTTTTTTGTATTCTGAATTTATATTATTTGTTGCTGTTTAATTTTTGAAAGCAGATTTCAAGTTGAGCCAATTTATTTATATATTTATTATGTTTTGGTTTTAACCCTGGATCCCATCTCTTCCAAACGTTACCCTAATTAAAGGCCTAGATGATTGGAAGTCATTTGTGCCTACCTTCGAAGAAAATCTTAACTTATACATAACACTAAAAAAACCTAGCAATATAGACAGCACTGAGCAACATTTTACGGACACGTTACAAAAACATATCCACAAGTTGACAAAATTATGAACTAGATCTACACCTACCCAATACATGCAGACCATCATTATCAAGAAATATGCTCAAGAGTGGCAATTCCACAAACTGACTAACTCACTTAGTAAGAAACAAACTACAGACCCTGAGACAACAATTCCAAGACTACACAAGTTCATTAATAACGTAAAATAGTAATTATCACTGAGGATTAACCTCTTTGGACATAAACACATAAAATGTTATCCTTTCAAACCATTCCTTCTCTCTGCCAAGATGTTCTTGTGCTCCGCCTGATGAAGAAAGAGTCTACTTATATTCCTCTTATCTCTCCGGAGTTTTCACTCCTCTTCCTTACTTGTGAACTTGGCATCAATAGAACTATAGAACACAATCTAACATCTGTACCTCTCTTCCCTCCATTCAAAACCATTCACGCCCAGTGAAGTATCATACATAAGCTACTTACAACTAAAAGAAAGCTCCTGATCCTAATCACTGCAAAAATCCTTCAACCATACCTAAAAAAGCTGTAGTTTTTCTTACATTTATAACAATTCTCTTAAAACCACATTTCCCAATGGAAATTTTCCTTCATTGGTATGAATGCAAAGCTTAAAAAACCTTATATCTTTCCAACATCCTCCTTTCAATTACTCTATTGCGTACAATAAGTAAAATCCTATAAAAACTCTGGCTTAAGCGTATCTTTTCCTCATTCATTCTAGCAGCGTTATTCCAGATCACCAGTTTAATTCAGAGGTTCTCATTCAACCATTCAGCAATACTACTTCATTGTAGACATTATTGCTGCTGATCTTGGGCAATAGGAATGGTGTTCTGGTTTAATCCAAGATGTGAAACAAGCCTTTGTGGCATTCGAGGATAATCTAGAAGCTTAAAAGAATCCTCCCTTTTACCTACCACCTGATCCTAAAATCCTACTGTACTGACTTCAAGTCACCAGTGGCTCCTCTCAATCAGCCAGCTAATACACAGATACAGGGTACTCCAAGGAAGTGTCTTAGGCTCCACACTCTGCACAGTATACACCGCAGACATTTCTACCCTTCTGAAACTACCCTTACCACCCATGCTGATGATACTGCACTCATAAAGATCTTGTCATCTCCAATAGAAACCTGCAAATCAACATCCCTTGAGCAATGGTCCAAGAAGTGGAAAATAATAAAAGTACAAAAATATGAGCATACCATTTTCACCCCTTCAACGCGTCTTAAAAAAGCAAGCTGTATTACATATTAAAACTGAATCTATAAAGCAAACGACGTATTTTTGCCACTAGTCTCTAGACCAATTTGCACATACAGCATCAAAGTTTGGGTTTGAACCAAACATTCCGACCTCCAATTCATCCAAAACTTATAATCCACAATACTCTGAACCACCATCATTGGCTCCTTTTTATGTATCCAATCTTTCACAGTCACCTTCATTCATATCCAATATGTCCTTGAACAATTATCCTGTCACACAAAGCCTCATGTCAAAAACCTTTCAAATCGTACCCTTAACAATAATCCTCTCTGAAGTTGATTAAAAATTGATTTTTTTTGGCACTGATGGCCACAATGGTTTAGGTATTGACATGGGGCTCATTACTGAAAGGTAAAGGTCCTGGGTTCAAATGCAGGGCTTACAATTTTTTTTACCTCTCATAAAAAAAGATTACAATATTTCAATTCTAGGAATATTTGCAAAAATAAAAACATAAAAGAATTAGTGTATGGATTTTATATTTGGCAACTTTAGAGAAAAGAAGGAAAAAAACTTTAGAAGAGATTAAAACAATTAAATAATCCACATTTATTAATTAATCAAAATAAAATGTATATAAATGGATATGTTTGAAATATATACAAAACTTTTACATTGAAAACCTGTACATCGATAGTCAGACTGTTTTTGAAGTACACATTTATAAAAAATGTAGCTGTCATAAAATCAATAAACAAGTCTGTTTAAAACGGCTTTTTTGATATCGCTGAAAAAGTCCGGTTAATCTTATGCGACAAAGTTTCTGAGGAGAATAAACTAAACTGTGGTGAATTCTCTTCCCAGGCCCAAGAGCCAGCGAGCGAATTTTCCGAACGGCACACGCGACCAAGCTGTAAAAGTAGCGAGACGACATCTTCAATGAGAGGAGGGAATGCTTCGCATATTCTGACCAGACAGTCGAGCGTATCGGAGAAAAGCTCTTCTCTGCTTTGCTTTGGCAAAACTACAAAAAAAAAAAAAAATTAGACATAATTTTTCAACTTCTAAATGTTATAACTCACCAGAAAGAAGTGTAGAAAGTGTATTGATTGCAAGCCTTGTGACACTCATTGCTTTAGGAAGGGAATATTGTAAAGCGAGCCTGGAGACGAGGTCAACTGCAAAAACCTGCTTCTCGAGCACAGGTTGGCTCAAAAGTTCTGGAATGAAATCGAGGCAAATGTGCAAAGAAGGCACACCCGCTATCGTCACCGGGAGGTGTTTTCTTATATAACCCTGTTAAGATGTAAATTCTTTTTATTTAAAGTTTCTAAAAGTACAGATAATTTTGCCAATTTTAATTTACCTGGAAATGAACAAGTTTGGCCAAGGACGGTTCTGAAATAAAAAGTTGATGGAGATAAGAGCAAACAACACTTTGTACTTCACGAAGGGCCCAAGATTGTCCTCGAATTTCCTATGCAAGAGAGAATGTTTGTATTACATCTGTATATATTACAATGATAATTATAAATTACTTTATCTTGAGGTGTTTCTAAGCAGGCTTCAAGGAGAATCTGAACCGCAAGACTCTCTTGCGCTGAGACAAGGGCTGATCTCAGTTCTTCCCTTTCAGCATCTGTGCATGAAGAACCTCGACGTTCATGAACCGGGCTGTCAAGGAGATGTCTCGACAGTTGAGACTGTGAAGCAGCCAAGCATGATTCAAGCACTCTCAGTACGATGCTCAGTAAAGGTGCACACCTTAAAAGTGAAAACAAATTAGAAAAATGAAAACATTTGAAATTATACGTTGGAATTACCTGAAAACTCTTGGGTCACACCGGAGGACTTGTAGTGGATCCACAACCACATTTTTCTGAGTTAGTGTTGGCCATTTCATCATCGAATTGTCCGGGAGAAGTGCGTTTATGGTCATAATCCAAAGACACCTTGGAAGAACGGAGTTCAACCTAAGCCATACCTGTTTGTATAGCTCTTTAAAATTAAAATAAAACATAAGTAAATATTAATAACAAGCGAGAATAAAAATCTAACCTTGCACATAACGAGGAACTGAAGGATCTAACGCCTGTCTAAAATGTTTAATTATAACTGGTGCAAACTGCCAAAGAAAAGTAGGTGGAGCGTCTAACATTACACCAAGGAGATTCCCAGTATGTGAAGGGCAGGTCATCATTTCATTTAAACCTTTAAATAAATTAAAAAATATATAATTAAGACTTTAGGTGGATTATGTTTAAAACTTACCGTGAGCAATATTGTCTTGTGTGAGGACAAGGCTTTTGTGATGCCTATCACCAGAGTACAGTGTACCGATGCTGTGAGATTGCCTTTCCATCCAATCGTCAACGAGGCAAAGATGTGGAAAATGTGTAACCAAAAGTCTTAGCAAAGAGGAAAATAAACCTAAAGATAGAATTACCTTAAAAAACTCGACTTTAAAACTTGTATTTAATTTGATCGTACCACTATAGCTTGCCTGGTCTTTTTGAGCTTGATGGAGTAAATATTTGATTGGCAGTTCGGAAAGAAATTCCTGAGAGTATGATTTGGCACTATTTCTATTTGTGGTCTGCAAGGAAAGCCTGATGTCTTCGTAGTGTAGAAGATAATAAAGAAGGAGAAGCTGGGATGTCAAAGAATATTTGGGCTTTTCTACTTTTTTCTTCTGTAAATTATAATTATATTGGCATTACATCTTAATCAGAATAAAACTTTTCAAAATAAAACCTTGTTTGTGAGAATCGACGTGAAAACAACCCTAATTTCGTCTTCAGATATCGGCTGGTTTGTGTTCTCGAGGGAAAATCGTCCAGCTGGTAGAAGAATTGAATTGATATAGACCTCAACTAACGCAGGAAGAAGAGGATGCAAGGGTGGTACACTTACGCACAACTGCCTATAAAAAAAATACAAGATTTTTCTATTTAAAATATTGCAAACAAATTTCTTTAATTTTGTACTTTATGATATATTTCTATTTTCTTAAACTTTTTGTTAATAATAAACTTACCTAACATACAACGATCATGGATTTAATCCTTTCTGGTATTAAAAAAAAAGGATATTGCTTCCAAAGTTTACTTATAAAATCAGTTTATGGTTCTTTAATGATTTTTATTACTTTTTGTTTTAGTATTGGACTAGTGCATCACAGTTAAATTAAAAAGCGTCTCTCAGAGCTCAAAGATGACCAGAAAAACGAACAACCGCATTTTACACTAATAAAAGGAAAATTGAGGAAGTTTTTGAAACAGGTGAGATGTCATCCTCCTACTAAAAAGATCTTAACGGGATTCTTAAATAATAATACACGACAAATGTATAAGACAAACTTTGCTGGCCTATATGCTGAGACGTTTTGAAGAAGTTATAAAGAAGGAAACACTTTTATTGTATTTATTAATATTTAAAATGAATAAACATTAATTACCTGTAAATCCAGTCTTTAATAGGAACTTTGTGTTTTGTGAAAGCCCTGCTTTTCAAAAGCTGATGAATGCAATGAACTGGTAGAAATCCTTGCATATTTCCATTTAAGTTCATCGTCACAGGTACTTTGACAGCGTGAGATGTAATTACCTGAAATTTTAATGATTAAATTTAGAAAAACAAGAAGTATATTTGTACTAATCGTTGATAAACTCACTTGCTCGGTGAATATATCGTGTGTAAAGACGTGTTTCATTTTGGTCATGTTGTTAGGCCTGATTTGTACCTTCATTCCCAATGTTGAACAGACCAAATCGAAAATTGCGCTGAGTTGGTTGCTGTGAAAGTGTATGGCCATGAGAAGGAGCATTTCTCCAAAAGAAGAAGTAACACCGCTTCCACTGAAAGGAAACATAAATAAAAAATTGTCACGTGACCCTGTTTTAATTTTTAAAATATCAAACCTCTCTAGATACGCTTCTTCGCTTGCTAGCCATTGAACCCACTGGATGCAAGCAGCTTCGTGGTTTCCAATCAAAGACGGGCAGGCTATCAGCATACTCAGCCCGAGAGAAACAAATCTAACGCCAGCCGTTGATGGAGGTGGATGTGAAGTTATAAGCTTAACTAGTTGTGAAATCTCATCTTCTTGAAGCCTGCGCATTATTAAAAATATTTATTTTTTTGTTTTTAAAAGAAACAGCTTTAAGACATTACTTGATGCCAGCGATTCCCCTGAGGGCGCAGTAAAGCCTCATCAAAGACGATGCCTGCACTACATATGATTCGGGCAATTTATTGTCTTCAGAAATGGATACAATTTGTTTCAGATACACTAAAAGTTCATCTCTTAGAAGCTGAAGACTGCTCTGATTTTCTTTACTTCTCTGTAAACGTGGCTGATAAGTTTCTATGTTGAATAAAATTTATAAATATATCACACCTTTTGCCTTCCTCTGATAAAACTAGAGAACCAATTTCGCACTTGTTGGTCGTTGCCTAAAAGCAACCCTGAAATGAATGAGACAATGTCGCACATAGATCCTTTAGCCACTTTCAAAGTGTGTTCTAGACTAAGCAAAATAGTCAAAGCTGGCATTCGACACAGTTCAACCTTAACATAAAAAATTAATTTTATAAAATTATAAGAGATAAAATAAAATGTAATAAATTCTTACACATTTTGCTCTAACAGCAAAGGCCAAACACGGGTTAATACGGCAAAGCTTGACCAGCGTATGAATCCTGATTTTTCCACCATTGTTCTCATCCTCCAACTTGTCTGAATTGGAAACCAGCGCTTTACAAACTGCAAACACCGAATATTAAAAAAAGTTGACATTTTATTATTAAACTTTAATTTCTATGGGAAAAAACAGTGAATAAATAAGTAACCAATAGATATTCAAAGTTTATTACCCTCCCAGAAACAATCTGGCGAATTGATGACGAGCCAGCATATTATATCAGGGCCGTGTTTCATATGTAGGAGAGTTTCAGCTATTTCCGTGATGGAAAGCAGAGCGGGCAGCTCTGACAATGCAATATTGAGGACATCGCATATCTCAGGGATGTAGACTGAGTTTTCAAACAGGTCAGAGTGTTTTACAAATGTCTCAATGGTGCTTCGTTGCATCTGCTGTTCTTCTTGTATCTAAATTAAAAAATAAGCAGTATAAATTTTGTTTTTCTTGGAATTTTTTTTTTGTTAACTTACGAGGGAAGATATATAAAGGATCTCGCTCAAGACAAGCCTGAGGCGCCGTGTGGGGTCGGATCTTTCAAACTCCATCGCAAGACCATTTTGAATTGACTGGACCAAAAGTCCATCAGAATGGGCGCTGCCACCTTTCTGCCTGTATAGAATAATGAAAATTAAATACCATTATCAATGAACAGGAAATTAATCAATAAACAACAAAGTCAATTTAATGGATATAACAAACAATAGGATTCCTAGCGATTAATACATTCAATTACCAATTGGTAATAAAATAATTGTATCATTACAAGCAATTTGAGCAACCCTCTCTCAATGCTCTTTTATTATTAGTTTGTTGTAAAATGACCTTTGGTAAATACTAACAACTACTAACGGAGCAAGGTCTCAATACCAATAATACACACCCTCCAAGGTCTCTCTAACGTTCAGAACACTACGTTTTTTAGTTTTTCTCTTTATTTCATATTGTTCACCAGTTGGGTTGGTAAGCTGCAATAAAAATTATACATGAAATCTACCAAAATGGAAAAAAATGGCAATGTCGCTCGCGGATAAAATTAAGGTTTTAGATAAATTGCGAGTCGGTGAAAGTGCAACTGCGCTGGGAGATTCTTCAACATCAATGAGTTGACATTGCGTTCAATTGGAAAAAAAAATTGAAAAATTAATAAGGTACTATGTCCTGCCAGTGCAAAAATTACAGTTTGAAATAAATCCCTTGAAGAGACAGAAAATGCTTGAGCATTTGATTGGAGGGTATCTCAGAAGTGTGTTCCAATTAGTAGTGCATTGATAAGAGCCAAAACTAAAAAATTATTTGACAAAATTAACAAATGTTCTACATCATCGTTCGATAGCAAAGGTTGGTCGAAAATTTAAAAAAAGGCATAATTTGCATAATATAAAATTGTCCGGTGAATCGGCATCTGCTGACCATGAAGCAGAAAAAAGATTTAATGGATAACTTAAGAAAATGAGAAAAAATTAAATTGTATGGATGGAAATTTTGAAAATGTTAATTTATAAAAAAAAATACAGATAAATGCAATAATAATTAATCATAGAAATAAATGTGTTTTTGTACTTCTATCTACCATTATGGAACGGAACCCCCCTATTTGTACAGGAATAAAGACAACATTTGGGTAGTTTTTCTGGAACGTAACGCTCGCGAATGTTGAGGGATTACTGTACTGGGTAGGATACCTACTCGTTCTCTATAAGGAGCAACTTAGAATTATTTAGGACACATCAGCCTTTCTCTGCACAATAAGTAAAAATATGAATTTGACAGTTATTAAAGGATTTTACCTGAGCTGTTGTTCCCTCCTTACCTCGACTTCCAGGGCGTGGAAGTCGATGGAAAGGAGAGCTACGATCGAGTTGACCATCTCTATCCCCGAGAGTATGGTGAGGATCTCTTTGCGATTCTCCGAGCAGCTTCGAGTCGAGTCGAGAGGCGAGATGAGGCTCATTCGGACCAAACAAGGCAAAACTGGCCGAATCCGCTTTGGCTCGCATTTCGACAAGCTCTTGACATCCAACGACTGGAGGTATTTGAAAACGTCCGGGCTGACGGACAAGTCCATCTCTCTTGATCGACAGCGAGTTCCTGATCAAAATTCAATGTATCAGAGAACTCATATGCCGCTTGGCATACCGGAGAAGGTAGCAAACAAACTCGTTGAGTCGTTGCTTATAGACATTACAAAACCTCTGTCGACTTGGCACGTCAGTTTTAAAAAATAATCCAAGCCATTTATTTAATTTACCAACTACACAAACTAAAACTAGCAATGTGTATAATTTAATTCAAACTTTAAGGCTGATCAATCATATTATGTACCGATAGTCCGATACCAGTACCTCCCCGTTGGCATGGAGTAACCTCAAGCAATGCATTTTGTCTGCTTCTGAAAACTGTTCCTTGATGTAAATTTTTAAAGATAATTGTTAATTAGTTTATTTTATGTTTAAAATGTTCGGAATCCGTCGACTTTATTCTGTTAATTCGGCCTTGTTCACCGGGAATGCCTTGAAATTCAGCACGACCGGTACTAACAGAATCAAAGAAAGTAAGTGTACTATTTTAAAAAAATCAAGTATTAATAAATAAGAACATTGTAAAAAATTAATTTATATCAAAAACAATTCTTGAACAATACGAAAATTTAAATTAACCGACATACAACTGAACTGCTCAAAAATGAATAGCGATATTGCCAATTTTGTAGTATTTACTTTCTGTTGCATTTTTATTTTAGTTTTATTATAAATTAAAATTTATTATAAAATATTATAAAAGTAATAAAATAGTATAAGAGATTTTAATTCCATAATTTTGATTATTGGACAAAATATTTCTTTCAAACAATTAATACTGTGTATAATATATTAGGTTTCGTGGTCCCATTGACCAAATAAATTATTTTCAATTAATTAATATTTAATTAAGGTTTTGCTTGAGATAAAAAAGTCAGTGTCACGAGCGGGATTCGAACCCACGACCTTCAGCTAAATACGCTGCTGCTCTACTGCTTGCGCTATCATGACTTCGATCCACTCGGACACCAACTTCCCGGACAACAACAACGGTGTAAGGCCAACTTCCCACTAACGATTACGAATCATCTGTGTTAATAAAGGCCTATCCAAAACATGTTGTACTTCATTTAGGATCTGGCGGACACTATGGAAAGGGTTCCGTCTTGCAGCAGTGACAATATTTCTGTCCTCACTTAGCGTCAAAGTGCACAATGTCCACTACCATTCCTCTTATTGGCACTTCCAGTCTATTGGCATTGGGCTAAAGCTCCAGGAGACAATGCTCTGAGAAACGCCATTTGCCTCTGCAATATCCACTTGCCGGTGACCTCAAAGACTCATTCTCACAATAATATTGTGAACTTCTGGGTCAAGATGTTTTCCATGGTTAAAGAGAATACAACTGGATTAAAATGGTGAAAAGTGTTGGTTTACAAAACGAGTACTCTTACTGTTTACTTTGCTTAAGTAAATCCATTATTAAAAATGAGGATTAACATTTGTTTGGTTGTTGGTTTTTATTTTCTTTCTTGTGGAATATATTGGTTAATTTAATTAAAATTGATAGAATAAGAATAAATTACAAATATCCTTATTCATTTTTGAGCAGTTTACTTTCTGCACTGATGACCTTGCAAACTTCTACTGCTTAATACTTGGAATAGTTGTGTCTGTGTCCATATTAGTTATATGTGGATTAAAGGTCGTGGGATGACATTAAACAAGTTTCCTTCTTTTTCACTCCTCTGGGTCATCCCAGTCTCCCTTCATTCATTTAGATCTAAAAGATCTATTGTGGTACTGACCCTTGTGTTATCTCCAAGCCTTTAAAAAGTTCACAAACCTTAAGACTTCAGGAGTTCTTCATTTATTAGGCATCATATTTGCCTTTCCAAGGCTGTACCGTAAGATTCAAGGCTAAGATTCAAAGGCTGAAGGCATTCACAAGGGGCACGAAATGTCTCTGCTTCTTGTGGACAGAGTCTGCAGGTTTCTGACTCAGTTGTTTTTCATTTTTAAAGTGGTAATTAAATGGGAAATTAATAGAATAAAGACCTATTATTTTCCTTAATTCTTGCCTACTTTGTAAGATAAATTTTTGTTATACTGGTTGAGTTGTTGAACAACTTCTTTGATTATTTTGCAGCGGGTGAATTTATCAAATGTATGATCATTCCTATCTCCATCCATTTGTTCAATTCAGCTTTCACTATGTTTTTGGGCTTGCAAATGTGCGGAAGTCCAATGAGTGAGAGGGCTCCTTCTGCTTTTGCTAGTTTTATCAACCTTTTTGTTGCCTTCAATCTGAACCTAGCTACTACAATTTCAGGAGTTTTGGATATCATTTATGTAAATCAGGAATAATGTGGGCCCCAGTACAGAGCCTTGTGGGACTCCTGTAACTGAGCACTTCTATTTTGCCATGCTTTCATGCTCATTTGAGATTCTGCCCCAATGGGCAAGGGTTGCTTCTGCCTTTGCTGTTTTTTTAATCTTCAATTTGGGGGACCGCGGTAGCCGAGTGGTTAGCATGAGAGACTCTCACGCCGCGGTCGTGGGTTCGATTCCCACTGTCGCCTCCGGCCCTTTTTTTCCCCCGATAACCCCCAATTTGAATAACATATATAAGAATTCGTCATGGCTAATATGCAAAGATCATAAGGCCAGAAAAAAAAAAAAATCTTCAATTCCCTTGTGTGCTGGCTACCTGATTACATTTTCCCAGGAGCTGGAGATATTTTAGGCTTGTCCAGACCAGCATTGAATCGAAGATGGAAGAGTTTAAACCCTTCCCTACTGCATGTCTAATCGGGAATATGTATATCTGTGCACCTTTTATTCCTTTATTTAAGTATTTCTTGTATACAGAGTAATATTGCATGGATCTCAGCTTGAAAAATTGAAAGATACTCTGTAATTACTCTGTACCAAAGTGATTTGGTATCAGATCACCATCCTAGTAGCCTCTCCATGTGTGGTCCAGTTATCTACCTTATGCAGTGTGTATAACCTCTTTAATAATATAACTTTTACAGGTTGTACTGTGCCTATATAAGACAAATCCTGTTGTCTTTGTTATTTCACATTGACTACTTATCCATTAAATGTTGATATCACATAAATATATAACTCTAGAATTAAATGAAAACCCGTAAAAAAATATGTTTGGATACATGTGATTATTAATGAAGTTTTTTCCTCAGTAGTACTTTCATCTGCTCTTTTACAGTTGTGGAGACTAAAGAAGGAAAAAAACTCATCTTCAACGGTATCATAAAGGAACCGGATGCGGACAGGCCTGTTCTCAAGTCTGCTCTTGAATCTAAGACCACATGTCCTATTTGTAGCACAAATCTTGATGTTAAGCATACAGTAAATATACTTTTTTTTTTTTTTTTTTTTGTAAATGTTCTTATTGAGAAGAGTAACATTATTATTTTTAACAGGATGTCTTAATTTTGAGCCAGTTTGTTCGTTCTGATGGATGTATGTTGCCAAGAAGGGTCACAGGGCTTTGCAAGACACAGCAGAAACGTATATCTTACATGGTCGCTATGGCGCAGAAAGCTGGTATGAAAATTGTCTAAAAAAAAATAAACATTAATTCTATTGTTTTTATCAGTGTGATTATTGTTATTGAAATTCTTTTCAGGCTTGATGTCTAATTTGACTCCGGCCAATAGTAAGAAGGATCCTAAGAAAAGGAAGGATTATAAAAAATTCAACACGTATTTTGATGAATCCACAATCCCTTTGCCTAAAGAGTATAAGAAAAAGACGCCCAATCTTTTCAGATTGATTTGAAATTTTTTCTAGTTATTTATTGTACATTTGTTTATTAGTTATAATCAATCTTATATATTAAAATTTCAAAAGAAAATTGTCTGATTTATTACCATTGTTAACTGTAAAAAAACATGAAATAATTTTGAATGAATGAATGAATCTCTTATGTTTACTTTTTTGCCAAAACAATTATTAAGGAGAATATTTAATTTTCAAAAAGGTTATAATACATGCATACTTTTGATTTATTTGCAGCAAATAGAGAAAATATAGTGTAATAAACTAAAATGAATTCTACGGAAAAACATATCAGGTCAACAGTTGCAAACTGGTAACTAGGAAGTATCATAAAGAACAGGCCACAAAAAATTACTTAGCTTAAGCAAAATAAGTAATATTATGCTTAAAAAATACACCTCCAAGGGAACCTTTTTTTTCTCTTTTTGTAAGACATGGTTCCACACATAAAATTAATTCATTAATTTAATACATCAAAGGTGATTAATATTACATTATAATTAATTCACATCGACATACTCTCCCCATCTCATTATTTCTATTAAGAGAGCCTTTGTGTCTCTGACCTTTTCAAAACTTCCAATGATCTAAACTGCTTCACAAAAAAAATGGTGTACTATGATGTTTGAATTTTTTTTATTGATGTTGAATTTGATTTATGATATTAGTGTAGCTGTGGCTGAGCTTGTGTCTTTTTCTGTAATTGCTGCTCTGTTTATCTCTATTGATCTAAACCATTTCAGTGGCAATATCGTAATCAATGAAGTTCTATTGAGATGCGATTGATTATTGCCAGTTGAAAACTATAACCAATACTCCACTATTTCTAACCAGTTATGTTTATGTTTGTTTTGTTCTGTGATATTTTTGGATTGTTGAAATCGAAGTTATGTTGGTGTTCAAAATGGTGGGTAATATGCTGTAGGATTTGTTTGGGATTTTTTGCATCATCGATATGTTGTTTTACCCTTTTATCCAGATATTGCTACATATAAATATTGTGTGGTGATTAGTGACCGTTAGTCGATGATTATTCAGAAATCGTTAGATGCGGTCTGGTGTGATGTAGGTTTCAAAAAAAAATTTTCTCTATCGTGCCAACGTTTCGATCTTTATTGAGATCATCTTCAGGGCCTGGGATTTACAAACAATGTTTACATTTAACAATTACATTTAGGATGTGGAAAAGTGAATTTATACAATGCAAAATATATTTTATATTCAAACAAAGTATTTCTACTCACTCAAAGTGTTTGTCTTCTGTGTAAAATCCCAGGCCCTGAAGATGATCTCAATAAAGATCGAAACGTTGGCACGATAAAGAAAATGTTTTTCTGAAATCTATATCACACCAGACCGCATCTCACGATTTCTGAATAGTGTTATATATTTTGTCCCGTTTCCTTTTTCTCTCTCTTTCTGCTTTTCTTTCGTAATGTGGTTTCATCATTCGATTGTAAATTATTAATATTTAAAAATATATTATTGTCATTATTTTTTTAGGGGCATCTGACAGCTTGGTCATTTCAGCCCCGAGCACATGCAAAATATTACAACACTTATTGAATACGCATTCACACAAATAAATACATTCACACCTATACATTGCATTCATTCTATTTGGTAGATGGAGTACTCATTCATTGACCTGCATACAATAACAAACTGATCTAATTGGAGTCGATGAGGTATTTTTATAAATATTCCGCCATGGACGCAAGTCACGTACACAGCTCGAGGGCTGTCATTATTGTTTTGTATATTTTTTTTATTATGTTTATAAAACAATTGATTTCTTTTCTAATATAAGTACATATAAGGGGGTATAAAGTCCTATTTGTACCTTTAAAATAAATAAATATATCTGTTAATACATTTAACTTTTTTTATTTATCTATATTTTTTAAAATTTAATTTTGTTATCTAGTTCAAATTATAGTACATGCATGGATAGGAATACTTATGATGGATTCAGTTTCTTTTAATTATTTAAATAACTGATCATGCATGAATATTTTTCATATGTATTTTTATTTTCAATTATTAATTTTTGCTGTCATTACAGCACATATTTGTCTAGGAATACTTATAATATGGTAAATTTCTTATGAACCAGTCTGTGAAAGTAAAAACTTAAAACCGATTTATTATAAATAACTAATAATAATAAAATTTTGTGTAATATTTTATTTTTTTAATATGTTTTTGTTGTGTAATATTGAAAAGTATCAAAGTAATATTAACAACAAAAAAAAGTCAGGTATCATCAGGCATAGCGTTTGGTGCTGCTAAGGAAGTCCAGAGGACATTGGTGATTGGTCATTGGTCCCACTTGTCTCTTTAGCACGATGACTGAACGACTCTCGTCTTGTGCTAAAAACAAAAATAAACGATCGAAACTAACAAATGTGTTTTTATCTCTTTATCCATGCCAAATTGAAAACACGAACACTCATATTTTGAGATTTATCGTCTAAAACAAACACGACTCGGGAGATTTACGTATCGGCGCCCTCCCACGTAACACATCACTGTGCTAAACAAAACAACGGGTTAAATGTAATTTGCGAGCCGCCGCTGCATCGAAACGCTCGGGCAGAAATTTCGTTGTTTCCGTATTTTCTTTTTTAGGCTTCCGTAGTTTTTTTAAATTTATAGTTTCCTCCTCTTAAAAACGTACAATACATGACTGGAAGATGACGCCTTTAGAAGAACTGACCGACTCTTTCCACAGAGGGGCGAACAAAGTCTTCGAGCTTGCCCAGTTGCTGCAAATATCTCTCGACAAAATTCAGTCAATCATATCCAAAGTGAGTCACGTTTTTATCTGCTTACAATTTACAATCGAACTGGATTAGTTAAAATATGTTTTATTTTTTTAAAATATTTTTTACCGTTTGACAAACCGTTTTTCAACCGGGGCATCGCTTGTTTACTTTTTCTTGTTCTTTTCTTTCTTTCTTTTTGTTGATTCCCTTAGAAATTAATAACGAAAATGCCATTTATTACCTACTGTTACAACTATTACGATTATTTTTATTCATTTTTTGAACCGAAATCAAAAGAGACAAGGTGCAAAATGTCTGCACTCATGATCAAACTCACAGGTCATAGAGAGTCAGCGACGCTTCAGTGCAGAAATATAATCGTTAGTTCTTAATCTTTCAAAAAATACCCCCAAAAAACAAAACAATTTTTTCTCTTTCCAATTTTGGCTGCACTTTCAACATAATTTTTTCTTTAACAATTTGAATTGTTAGATATTTTTCAATTTTGCACTTAAACTTTAGAATATTGTGCCAATCACTGCTAATGGATTGGCTGGAACATTTCTTTTATTCCTAGCTATCTCAGGACAGATGTATAGCCTATGTTCTGTTGTCTTGGTCTATAGACATGATCATCATTGACGATATGTTGATAGACCTATATTTTTTTGGTGGTGCTTTATTGGAGCATGTTTTGTAAATATATCACTTAGGTTTAGTTTTTAATTTCTTTCAAATGGGATTTCTACTTTCTCCCATTGGCTTTTTTTGCAAGTAGGTTTTTTTTACTTTCCTCGTGCCTGGAATACATTCCCAGTATTTGTATTCTTTAGTTACAAAAGATCCCTGTGATTTTTTTAATGTTACTGTAGTTTATGCCATAAAATGGATTTGGACCTATAATTTGTGCAGAGATTTTCGTATTTTTTATTAACTAAAGAATTCTCATGGGTATGGTATCAAAATCTACATAGCTCAAGAACGGGTTTTCCAGGTACCATAGCCTGTTCTTAGCTATTACAGGACAGATGCATAGGATATGTTCATTTGCCTACGTCTATATACGATCGTCATTGTTGATCTGTTGATGGACCCATATTTTTATGTACTAAAGCATGTGTTGTAAATGCACCACTTAGCTTTAGTTTTTTATTTCTTTCTGTTGAGTGGGATTTCCTCTTTCTCCCATTGGGCTGTTTTTGCAAGTAGTTTTTTGCTTACCTCATGCCTGGAATACATTCCCAGTATTTGTGTTCTTTAGTTACAAAAGATCCCTGTTATTTTTTTAATGTTGCTGTAGTTTAGTCCATAAAATGGATTTGGGCCTGTAATTTGTGCAGAGATTTTTGTATTTTTTATGAACTAAATTCTCAGGGGTGTGGTATCAAGATCTACATAGCTCAAGAATGGTTTTCCCATGTACCTTAGCCTTTTCCTGGCTGTAGCGAGGCAATTGCATAGGATATGTTGAATCTTTTATACATAATCAACATTGGTCATCCCTTGTTAATCCTATATTTTTCAGTCTCCTGTAAATAAACAGAGTTTTTAATTTCTTTCAGTTGAGTAGGATTTAATTTTCATTCTTTGGGTTGCCTTTTTTGCCCTTCATGCCTGGTTTTTCACTCCTAGTATTTGTTGTATTCTCCCATTTGAGCAAGTATATCTGCTGCTTTGTAGCCTGAAATTTCTTATGAACTGGGATTCATTTTAGAGTTAAGCAGTTAAGCTATAAGTAGATCCCAGCTTTTTTTTAGGGCGTTTAGACAATTCCAGACACGTTTTGAACTCGTAATTGCTCTATTATAGCTAAGGTACAAGGGAAAACCATTCTTTAGCTATATAGTTCTTGATGCCATTCCCCTGAGAGGAATTGTTTACTTCATAAAAGCTATGAAAATCTTTCAGGAAATCCATTAGCACAATATACAAAAGTTTAAATCCAAAAGGGAAAAATCCCTATGATTCAAAATGAGGTGGGGATCATTTTTGTCTTCCTATCCTCCTGGGTTGGCTTGGACATGTTTCACCCAACACTAAAGACGGCAAAAGGCCGAATTGGTTTGGACAGACCAACCCAATGAGGATAGGCTGACCAAAAATGATCGCTCACGACCAAATTACAGGCTCGTCACTCCATAGACCACATAGAGAAATCTCAAAATGATAATAATCATTAGTATATTACAATAACTGCAAAATTATTCATTTCCAAGGAATTGAATTTTTGTCTTTTACAAAATTACACATTTTTACTGATTATTGATTTATGTAAGCTCGGCTAGGTATGGTTAGGGCCTATCAATTTTGAGAGCTGACTGGCTATTCCAGCTTTTGTGTGATTTAAAATAAATTACCGGCAGGGTTCGAGAATCACCTTTCCTGGGTTTGGCAGTCCAGGAAACTCAGTCTTATCATTCAAGACGCCTAGGTTTATGAATTTTATTATTTTTATCAATTATTATTTTATTGTTTATTAATTATTAAGAGATTATTCTATATATTATGTTCTACAGTCGAAATAAGATTAATGAAATTTATTTTCTTATTATTGCAGGTCACCGATCCTCAAGCTAAAGTGAAATTATATGATGACGAATGCGACATTATCCAAGCCCAATTAAGCTCGTATGATGAGTCTTTTGCAGCGGCTAAAAACTTTATTACCACCTACACAAAGAAGCTTGACACTGTTTTGTCAGTGCTGTCACCTACGATCAGGTGGCTGCCTGAGAAGCAAACCATGATGGAAATGACCTACCAAGAAGGTAGTTCGCCCTGGTCTTTTACTTTGATTCACACCGGTGTAAATAAAACCTCGATATCTTCTTTATTAGAGTGAGTTTCATTTCCCCTGCTCAAATTATCATATTTAATGTAACTGTTTTTGTTTGCATAGGGAACATTTTACAAAAGGAATGTTGCAATCATTGCCGAACCTTTGTGCAGGCGATTTTGTCTGCTGTTTCGAAAGAAAAATGTTGTACAGGGCTGTCGTTCTTGGTTTAATGCCAAATGATAGGTATTAAAGCCTGTTTTTTAAATTTCAATAACAAATTTTTAACATTTTTTCATGTGCCGTAGGGTTAAAGTTTTAAATGTAGACAATAATCATAAAAAAATTGTTCGGAAGGAGAATATCTATGATCTCACTGTAGACCTGTTGGATATACCTGCACAATGTATGCACTGCTGCCTTATGACACTGGTTTGTATTTTAATTTAATTAAATAAAAATACATCTAATATTAAGTAAAAACATTAAACTCTTATCAGTTTGAATCTTTGTTCGAATAAAAAAGTTTATTTGTTATTTTTTAGTTATGTGGGTTCACATATACAAATTTTTGTAAATAATGGATGATATAATCATCAAAATTATTTTTAATGTGCAACAAGTTAATTTTTTACTAATTTTTAGACGAAATTTTATGAAACTGAAAAAAAAAAAAAAAATTAAGACAGCATTATCAAATGTTGTAGGATTGCATTGACTTGATTTTAAACTGTACTTTTTTCAATTATGTAATGATAAATTTTCAATGAAACTTTTATCCAGGATGCCAATGAACAAAAATTGTGGTCAGAAGAATTAAATCATATATTTAAAGCAACCCTATCTGAGTGCAAACTATCAGTGAATGTGATAGACCGGATCGAGTCACTTCCACCAAAGTTCATCGTTGAAGTGTACGGTTTCAACGAAGCACTGGAATCAGAGGCGAATCTGAGCGAATGGATCTGCCACCGTGTTTTACCCGAGGTGAAGCAGATAGCCGAGAAAAGCGACACAGATGATGTCGTTAGCATGATGAGAGAAGATGCCCTCGACCCGTTCTACGGGAGCACTTCTGAGGAGTCAGACCACATTTTGTTGAAGGCAGTCTCCGAAGTGTCCCACCATCAGTCAAAAGGCGAACAGACAGAGGGAGAAAGTACGATCCAGAAAGGCTCAGCCGACTCATCCAAAGAAAACCCAGAAAAGGAAAAATGGTACAAGGACGAATCACTTGATCTCAGCGAGAGGTATCCGCTTTACTTTGATAGAGATATCCATCAAAAAGGAGAACCAAATTTTGTGACAAATCCTCTAAATCCAATTGTGGAATTTAATCCGAAAAACATCGAACTACAACACGTAAAATCCAAACATGCAGGTAATTCATACCAATGTTGTGCTTAACTAATTTGTTTGTTCTTTTCTTTCCATAATTTCAATACTTGCTATTTTTATCGATCCGATTGGAAGAGGTTAATTTAAGTCCCATTTTTTTAACTTGCTGAAATAAAAAAAAGACTATGATTGCATTCATGGTGACATAATTTCACTTGTGACTTATCAAATGTGACTACATCTTAAATACTTTTAATGATATTTCACTTGTTCAATTTTTATTATTTGTGTGGTGATTAGTGACCGTTAATCGATAATTATTCAGAAATCGTGAGATGCGGTCTGGTGTGATGTAGGTTTCAGAAAAACATTTTCTTTTATCGTTTCGATCTTTATTGAGATCATCTTCAGGGCCTGGGATTTACAAACAAACTTGGCCCTGAAGATGATCTCAATAAAGATCGAAACGTTGGCACAATAAAGAAAATGTTTTTCTGAAACCTACATCACACCAGACCGCATCTCACGATTTCTGAATAATTATTTTTATTATTTATTGTTTAACTGAAGTATCATGTAAAATGAAGACGATTTGTTTCCTGCCTAGACACGAACTACTCCAAGAATGCAATCATCGTTTTTGTTGACAAAACAAAGCAAAAATTATCTGAAAATTGTTTTTTTAACTGTACTGTTATATACATAGAAAACAGAACAAACAATATTTTTTATACTGACTGACTACTCATTAGCCTCAACGTTTAATACGTATATCTAATTCCATGTGAAATATTTTCACAAGATAGATTGAATGGGCATTTGTTGCCGATGGCGTGAACTTCAGACGTCTAGGATAGCTAAACCCACACAAAACATGACAGGACATCTTGTAGACCGACCCGACGTTCACAGTGTTTCATCTAATAATTTTGGTTTGCACATGTTTGTTAACGATCAAAGATGTGCACCTATTGAAATTTAAATTTCAGAAGGAAAGGCTTCCGTAAGCATTACTCATCCGGAAAACAGTGATATCAACAGCATAGACACTTTAAAGGAATATCAGAGTCCGGATGAAACAAATGTAGGTCAGTTTTATAAGAAGAACAGATATTGCTGGAAACCTACAGCCTCAAAGGCGCACAAATCACCACCCAGTAAAAATTAAATACACTGTTTATCAAATTCAGTCTCTTTCACTAAGTAGTTTAAAGTCTTCAAAATCCAAACTTTGGGTGTAATAGTAATTCTCATAAATTCATACTAATGCTTTTTAATCGTATTATAATCATTTATTATGTTTAAGGGCTTAGTGATATTGATACATGATTTTTTTTTCAAAAGTGATTCTTTTAAGATATTTAAGAAAATGGGGGAAGAGATGTGTGAATGAAAGAAAGAAAAAAAATCTGTTTTATAAGCAGAGTTATTTGTTTGCCCATAATAAACATTTTGGTGGTTATGGTTACTCGACCATTCTCAAAATATGGCATTTAAAGGAAAGTTACAAGATCTGGAACAAATCAAGTTTTTGGTCACTTGCTTCTTCTTTCTTAACTGCTTATAAACCAGGATAATTTGAGCGAAATTGAGTTTGCTAATTAAAAATTACAATTATAATTTCCACGTAAAAGGCTGAAAAAAAGGAACTGAGAAGACAACACTTACAATACAACTTAATTAAAATTAGAAAATTAAAATTACTTTACAATACATATTTGATTAGTAAAAAAGTAATAGTGTATGGTTGTTTCATAAATTTTATGATTTTTAATTTTACCACTGCTACTCATTGGCAAGTTTATGGGGGACGTGTTTCTAGGTAAGTAAAAGGGTTAGCTAAATAAAAATAAGTCATGAGTTTATTGTTGAAAGGAAAAAAGAAAATAAGAATAATCAAAATTAAAAAGACTAAAAAAATAATAATAATAATAATAATAAAAAGTGTGTGGTGATTAGTGACCGTTAATCGATAATTATTCAGAAATCGTGAGATGCGCTCTGGTGTGATGTAGGTTTCAGAAAAACATTTTCTTTATTGTGCCAACGTTTCGATCTTTTATTGAGATCATCTTCAGTGCTTGGGATGTACAAACAATGTTTACATTTAACAAATACATTTAGGATGTGGAAAAGTGAATTTATACAATGCAAAGTATATTTTATATTCAATCAAAGTATTTCTACTCTCTCAAAGTGTTTGTCTTCTGTGTGATTGTGCCATTCTTGCGAGTCGTGTTGAGAGTACCAGTGAGATTTTGCTGTTTTATGTTTATATACGTTGGATTTTGAAGGGGTGGGGAAGGAAGTCTGTATAGAAAAGACATTTTTGTTGTTTTCGATTTCATGTGTAAATTGTAGGCGTGGGTGAAAGCTATTAAATGTATCTATTGTAGTTTGAATTTGATCTGTGGGAACTGCTGTCAATATATCATCTACGTTGTCACCCTCACATTTTAGGGATGACACTTTCAGTCACTTTTGGAAAGTGAATGGGGCACATTAGAATGCTGAGTGGGGGAAGGTCGAAGGAGGGGAGATGTTGGAGTTGAACTGGAAAAAAGAGATCAGGTGTGTTCCAGACTTGATAACGGTTGCTCGAACCTAAAATATCATAATTTAGTTACCACCAGGGTGAGTTGAGCGATTGTGCTGTAACGTTGTGTGGTTGCAGGTTGGAATTGGGGAGAAGAGTTAAACGTCTTAGTGACTCTATGTTATAATTTTGGTTTAGCTTGTATATATATATATATGTGTTGTAAATATATTTTGTTTTCAGTCAGTTTATTTTTAGCAAGTGTGCTTTTATTTGTTTTATTTAACTTTTCCTCTACCCTTTACTATCCCAAGTTTTAGAAGTGTTGGACCCTTATTTGTCATGCTGTCGAATGATCGACGTCTCACATTGGTAGCAGAGTGTGGTTACCAATCTCAGCATTCTAATGTCCCCCATTCACTGTCCAAAAGTGACTGAAAGTGTCATCCCCAAAATGTGAGGGTGACAACGTATTTAGTGAGGAGGGTAATGAGAAAGGAAGTTGTGGTATGACTGTATTTAATAGATGTGTCATGATTGTCTGCCAGTATCGGGCCTAGGTTGCTACCCATGGCTATACCAAATAGTTGTTTGTAAAATTGATTGTCGTATGTAAAATATCCGTTAACACAGCAGTGTCGGATCATTGTTACAAATGTGTTCTTTGAGAGAGTTGTGTTATGTTGGGCCAGTTATCTTTAATAATGTTCAGTGTTGTGTCTATGGGAATGTTGGTAAACAACAATGAAACATCTAGGGATATGAGAGAGTAGTGTGAGGGGATGTGGATATTAATTTTGTGAAATGAAATGAATCATTTACATTATATGTGTTATCTGCATGCTCCGGCAGGTGTCCATTATGGTGTATAACCATTAAATTAAAATAAACAATTTTTTCATCCTTGCAACCTTCAATTTTGTTTAGCATTCACACTTTCAAGAGTTTTTGTTGCTTTAGCTGATTTTGTACACCTTTTTTTGATCTAGAAGTGTCTGTTATTTGCTCAATTAATGCCTACTCTTACCACATCAACCACTGTGCAACAGGAGCACTGTCTGGTATTGACAAACACTATTGCCATTTCTCTTAAGCAAAACTAGTATTACTCAGGGGTTTTCCTAGATGTAGCCCGGACTTTTGACTGTTAACGGCACCTGAGTTTACTGTGTTAATTCAAGATTCTTCCCAGTACCTTTTATCTTATCCTCCAATACCTACCTAATAATGATATTTCCATGTTTGTCAGGGAACATCCTATGCCTCTTTTAAATTTTGGTAAAATCTGGAGCCCCCAAGGGTGTATCTTTGAGCCGATCCTCTTTACAGTATACATTGATTTTCGCACCAAGAAAGTCACATTGTCCTCCATTACGACTGAATGACATACTGATACCAACTGCTGACACAGTACCACACCTGGGACTTTAAAAAACTGATTTGGACACCTGAAATGACAAGACATGAACCGTCATTACAAACTCGTACTGAGACTACTCGACCAACACTCTCACCTAAACCTTAACGACAAACCGACCATTTACAAAACTCATTTGTCTGATATTGACCTACTGAGAGGAAATTTTGGGTCAACCAAACATTCCAATTCATTCCGTATTTAGTCTTTCCAATCCAAAATCATAAGAAAAATCCTTATTGCTTCCTTCTACGTATAATAAAACCATTAACGCTGACCTAATATTAAATTTGTTCACGACCTTGTAAGAACATGTTAATAGAAATTCTATAATACCCAAACCCCCTCATCCAACAACTTTCCTCACTAGCCCTACCTGGAAATCCTCCGTGTAGGCTGAAGTGGCAATGGCCTAGAGATTTTCTTCAGTGATGTGTATGTGTGTGTAGTGAGAGGGTGTGTCACCAGTGCTTCTCCCATCATGTTTAATTATCATGTCATACTATTGCTTTCAATAATACAATACAATGTTACAATAATAATAATAATTGTAAAAAATCTTATCGCCTCTCTTGCTAGCCTCTTCAGCAACCATGGTCAGACATAATTACATATTTCATATGCATATTTTGTGTGAGGGTTGAAAGTGGTGCCAATTCTGTTTAGATGGATAAGCATATCCTGTCCACACTACAGCTATCAAATCGGTTTGTTAGATTAATAAACTTTGTTAAGATCCCCAGCTCATAAAGCCTTATGACTTGTTACACTAGGCTTATTCAAATATTTTAGAATAAATAATTTCTTATTTACATTTAAAATAATCTTTGAAACATTCATAAATAAGTTAAACTTTTAATACACCATTTTCTCACTTGTTGGCCAAATTGGACATAACAGATTTTTAAAACGTTTAGCCATCCACAGTTGGTCAGGGACTGTCAACAAATATTTATTTTGTACATTTGTAAATATACTTGCAGACTTAACTCTAATCAAAATATAATGTTTGTCACTAACATATAACTATTTATTTATAGAAAATGCTATGGTGTATGTAACAGCTACTTAAAAATACTTTTTAAAAATAAATTGTTGTATATCAAACATCTCAATAATTAAAGGTTGCAAAACAAATAGTTATAACTGATAGTACCATTGAAATCGGTTGTAGATGAAATCACAATGCAAGGATGTAGTATGTTTAGAAACAATCCTAGTGAATCACTCAGGAAACATTTTAATGAAACTGAAAGATGCTCCGAAGTGATTCATTACAGAAAATTGATCAGGACTGGTGATACTGAACACAAGAAAGGAATCCAATCAGACAGAGAATGTCGAAAGTTATTTTACATAAATAATTATGAACAGCGTGTGCAGAATTATAGAAGATTAATTGGCATCGAGAACATTTATAAAACTAAGATGATCACTGAATGTCATACTGAAAAAAAAATGATTGAAAATGTGATGAAAGAACTGAAAATCTGTAAGAGAAAATCTATTTTATCATCTTTAGTCAGACATAATGAAGTCTCGTTGATTCCGATTCAAAATAATAGCATTTGCTTGGACAATAAATCTCTGGCTCTGCCAAGTATTAAAACAAATTGTAATTATTTGCAGTACTGAATAATACCTTACATAAGTTGCTTCATTTAAAAAATTGTCTCAAGGTGACCATCACAAAGAAAACTGTAATTCACCAGATAACATTTCATCTACTGAGGAAGATACAATTTGTGATATGTATAAATTTAAGGGATATTGCTGGACACCAAATTGTACGAAATGTCACAATATTGTTGGAGAAAACAATGAAAATAGTGATTTGTGCAATTTTTATGTAAAACATAATTACTGTTGGGTACCTGCTTGTACAAAAGTCCACAGATCTAAAGGCATCTAAAGGTAATTACTTGACAAGAAAATTATTTTGTTTTTCTAACATCTTTTTGTTTAATAAGTTAGCATGTATATTAATTTATATTGTTTTGCATGTATGTTAGATTTTTGAGCAGAAATGGTAATTCACTGCATAAATCGCATGAGAGTTCATAGATTATTAATTTTTCAATATTTATTTGTACGGTGTGACGCTCTGGACTGATACGGCCAGAAAGGGACTGTTCGCATAGAACGACCTGTCTCCAAATTGAAATAAAACCCAAAAATATCCTAGGGAAATTAAAGTTAAATAAAAAAAAATAAATCCAATCCCAAAAAAAATTATTTTAAAAAAATATTATGTACCCTGTTCCAATCTACAAACCAGCTCAGAATTACCCATCAACAAAATTCAATTAGAAATAAAAAAACATCTGCTTTACAAATAAAAATTTGTGTCAGCCCCCAATCTGCATCAATACCGGGGGTGACAACGTTAATATTTATATATGTTAAAATTGTCATTAATTTTTTAATCGAATTAAACCTTATAAAATGATTTAGCTCTGATTCTGATGTTATTGGTTTGATTTTCTGAAAATTTCCACTTTGCTTTTTTCAGATAAAATATAGAGGGGTGCATTGGACACCTGGAATAGAAGACTGGATATTTTATGTTTATACATACAGTTTTTATAAGAGGTTTTAAACAATACAATTTAAATGTATATGTTTTATTAAATGAATATAATTCAATCAGCAAAGAAGCTTTGCGATTTTTGTAATAATAATTTTATATATTTTTTAAGTTTTATACATTTGTTATTTTATATAGTACCAAATATATGTTATTTTTAATTTTCACTGTGAGCAATTCATTTGAATTGACCAAGCATAAAGATTTATAGTTAATTTGGCGAATTACATTAGATTTTGTAAATTTATTATTAATTACATAAATAATGCCAAGAAAAATGTTAGAAAAATATCTATTATTTACAGAAATGTTTTGAATGAATTAGAATGAATGAATAAACATTTATTTAAAAAATACTTATACATTGTTACATAACATTCATTAAGCAGGGGAAGTGGTGGGGCACTTTTACGTCCTATTTCAAAACTTTTTGTATCAACGCACCTAGTCCTAGTTTGTTATTATTTTTAATTAATCAAACAAGAAAATAGTGGGAAAAATGTTTAAAAAAAAACCACTAGGTATCAAATAGGATAACAATTAACAAATGAATTAACAAAAATGTAAATAAATGAGAATAACAAGAACAATGCAACATGGGTAATTGAATTATCACAAATTGTCTTATAGTATCACAGCTCTAGAGGAAACAATAAATATATCAAAGATCCTAGATTTATGTATTGTGCCTAATCCTTCTATGTCTCCATGGAAAGTTTACATCATACACTCCTATATCCCTACAAGTAGTGTTCTTGCTGGAGGAGAGACCCATATAAAAATTCCTGGACAGGCGCTTTAATTCGAAATTAATATGCTCCACTCCTGCTCTCTCATGGAGGAGGTCAATTCTGGTGCATCGAGGTAGTTAGGTTATAAACCTTAGAAATTTATTTTGGACCACTTGCAGTTTTTGGATGTTTGATTTGCACGAGTAACTCCATGCTGGGCAACTATATATAATTAGTTTATTTTCAAAGCTCATTCCACTCTCTCGGGCCATCAGCGGAAATAACGCTTTTATAGCTATTTTACTTTTCGTTACTATATTATTTATATGCCTAAGTTTTCGGTCCAGAATTAAACCCAAGTACTTTACCCCCTCACGCCACTCGATGTGTCCGTGAATGGAAATGGTTCCCCTGAATATTGGTCGTCGTTTTGTGAAAAATATGGCCTCAATTTTCGGGATATTAATCCTGAGTTTCCAGCGGTGACAAAACCTGCAAATCCTGGTGATGCTGTCATTTAATCTTTTCACAATTGTATTAGGCCTCTAGGATGAACAATAGACAGCAATGTCATCCATAAAGCACAATTTTGCAATTTCTCAGTGAGGGGAGTGGATTTATAAAAACAAGCATGGCCCTAGGATTGAACCTTGGGGAACTCCGGCCGCAATTGGGAAAGGTCTGGAAGTTTCATTGTTTAGGGAAACAGAAATAACGGTTTTTTAAGTAGGCTATGACAACTTTTATAAGATATCCAGGGAAATTAATTTCAATGAGCCTGTATACTATACCGTCCTGCCAGACCGAATCAAAGGCCTTCTCCACGTCTAAGAGGACCATCCCAGTATGTATTTTGTTGTTGAACATGTTGGTCACATGATCTACTACGCAAGTGAGTTGGGTGGCCATAGAGAGGCCCGGTATAAAGCCATGTGCTGCTCATCTATGATAATCCTATTAGCGTTAATGTGGAGGTTAAGACGGTGCTGAATGCACTTTTCGAATATCTTATTAAGTGCACTCAACAGGCTAATGGGTCTATAACTTGATGGATTTTCGGCAGGCTTTTTAATAAAAATAATAAATTAGATTTTTTCATTTTTTAAATACTGTTTTTTTATGGAAATTATTTGAAAGACATTTTGATGTGATAAGGTAATGTTACAAGGTAATAAAATTATTATTTGATTTAAATAAATGCTGTTAATTTTTAATGGATTTAACTAGAGATGTTAATGATTTGGACAATTATTTTTAGACCTTAACTTTTCCCAGTAATTCTATAGGATAATGAGCTTGTACGCTTTTTCTTGCATCTTGCCATGTAATAATGTATTTGTTCAATTTTTCTATTCACAGAGGTAACAAGTAACAACAATTAATGAAACTTTAATGTTTCTGTTTAATGAAGACTAGTGTCCCTATTACTGTCACAGGATTGGTCTCCAGTTTTTGGATTTGAGGATTTATGATGGTTAAGAGTTTTGTGAATTTGGCACTAACAAGAGCTGATTGAAACTTGGAAAAATGTAATATTTAAGTCTGTATGGGTGGTTTAGATGGATGCGTGAAAGGATGCGGAAGGATTTTTCTGAGGAATATAGATTGGGCAGTTTGGATGCGACGAAAAGTTTGTCTGAATCCACACTTCCAGTCTTTTATGCATGTATCGGCTTCACTAAGGTACTATACAGTAGCTTTTTATTGGTGTAATAAAGTGTGAAAGTATTTTGTATCTTCATAACTTATTGATGTAATTGTGTGTGGGGATATGTTATATGTTTTTTGATATACAGCCTTATGTACTGCACCTTGATCACAGTTGGGAGGAGGATATTATTTTAAATAAACTGGGATGAGGTCTATCAGTCGTTTTTTGAAGGTTATGGATTTTTCTGTTAAATTTTGTTTATTTATTTTTTTACACCAAGACCCCTGTAGTGAAAGGTGTTGAAGGTTTCAAGTGGGAATGACAGGATCAGAGTTACTTGAGAGGGTTGCTGATCGCAGAGGAATGTTAACTGTATATGTGTGTGTGTGTACACCTGATAAAGTGTGGGGGCCAGAATGCTGCCTTGAGGAACACCAGTGTGGATAGGGTAATATGCAGCAAGTCAATAACCAACAATGACATGGAAAACAGGTGTAATGAAGAATGCCCATCAGCATGAACAAGCTTGGATGCCAAACTCGATCAAAAGCTTGTCTTATTACATCAAGAAGTCTCTAGAACAATGCCCCCACTCAGGGAAAGAGGAGATGCCTATGATGTGATGACACTATTGGACAGTTAAGTGGATATCACGAAAACCAAACTGATCATCAGGAATTATATTTTGAGAATGTAGGATTGAAAGAAGTTTTTCTTTACCAAAATGTAGAAGACTTATGGTTTATATAAAGTAGTACAGCTTATTTGTATTGTATTTATTTATATGTCCAACGATTCACATATCAGAAATAGTTTTGTTTTCAGTTGCATGAAATAGATTTTAAAATTAATTTGTCCTAATTAATATATACATTTATTTATATATCACAGAGATTTGTGTATCTAGAACAATTGTTTTAATTTGCTTTCTAGATGAGCTTTTAAACTTAACTAATGTTATAGGTTAATAATGAATGCATCCTTCAAATTATTAAAATTTATATATCATCAAAACGAAATTTTCAGTACTTTTATTGAACATGTAATATTAAAAATCAAACCAAGTTTGCACCACTGTTTGATATTTTTACATGGATATGATTTACCTCATCATGTTGGATAAAGAAAGGAGTTGGGATTAGGGTTAGGGATGGCATGGCTTACATAGTTTTTTTTACAAAGGTTCACAAGACAAGGTCATATCCACCCTCGGGGTGCTGGTGTTTTTGAAAATGAGCCCATTTGTAAGTATGTCGGGTTCAAATTCAGTGGGACCTTTATGTTCTAATAATGAACACCTTAACTATTGTGGCCACCGATGCCATCTTCAATATTTTTACATTGAAAAAGAATGAATTTCATTGAAGCAGAGAAAACATGCCAGTTTTAAAAGTAATTTTAAGACAGTTCCTATTAATTCTATAGAGTAAGAAGAGCTAGAAAATGGAGATATCAGAGAATTTCTTCAGGAGGACAATTAAACGTTAAGAACTTATGAGCGTGTTGTAACGAGCTAGCCTTGGAGGGGGGGAACTACAGTGTAAAAACAGGGTAAAATATATCACACCCTTGAAAGCAAAACTGTGTTCATGGTAGAAATACCAGCATAATGCACAATTTTAGCTCAATTTCGTTACAATCTGAGATTTCTTCATTGGGTCTAACGATTTTGTACATTAGTCATTTTGACCTGACTTTTGTTTGTGAGACATTTTGGCACCTTCAGTATTGGCTCTCAGAAAATACATTTGACAGGCTAACACACAAAACGTAAATTTATTGCCTTAGTAATTCCATGCCATTTAATTATCAATTTGTGACAGTGAAGTTTTGCCAGTCCGTATTACTCTACTTTTGATTACCAATATCTAATATTGAGCCAGAATTTAATAAAGAAAGTTAAACAAACAAAAGATACAGAGAAAAAAGTATTCTAAATCAACTGATAATGAGTATCATTGCTTACAAAAAAAGTTATAACATAAAGGCGCATACACACTAAGCAAATCTTGGCCAATGAAAGACTATGGATGTTGGGGCCCAACATTGGTCACTTGACTCATCCTCATTAAACCAAAGGATTCAGCCATGTGCCAATCAGTCAACATACCCCTTTTGATGTTACTGCAAAAAGCCCGAACCTTGAGCAAAGCCAACCGCTTTGTTGGCTCTGGCCACCTGAACATACCAAGCAAATCTTTTGTTGGTTGAGATTTGCTTAGTGTGTGAAACTAAGAAAAACCTTCATGTTCATTTTTTTTATTTGAGTGCATTTTATACTATCTAGATGAGATGCATCACTAATAATTATAAAGGCAGGATTATCTGTATTTTGGTCATATTGTACGGCCTAAAATCTAGTACGTCTCTGAAACTATTAGATGTTTTGGCTACAGTTCTTATATTCGTTCATCACCTCGACGTAATTCTTGGCCGATTCAGTAATATGTTTAATTTCTTCGTCTGACATCTTTCTGAAAAGTTTTGCCGGCCTTCCAGACCAAATCTCCCCGCTCTTTATCACCTTTCCGTTTGTGACCAGTGAGCCAGCAGCCACCATTCCTTCAGATTCGACGACTGCGTTGTTCATGACAACCGCTCCCATGCCGACAAAGGCTTTATCATGTAGCTTGCAAGCATGTAACAAACAAAAATGTCCAACTGTTACCATGTTGCCGATGAGCGTGTCACCACCTTCGTTTCTAGATACATGAATAACTGTTCCGTCTTGGATGTTTGTCTCATCGCCTATTTTTATGTTGCCGACATCTCCTCTGACAACACAATTAAACCAGATACTGCTATCTCTTCCTATTTCGACTTTCCCTATTATATGTGAACCACCGGCGATAAAAGCACTCTTGTCTATTTTTGGCTCATAGTTTTTATATTTTAAGATATTTGGACCCAAACTGTTGTACATTCCATCTGCAATGGTTATACAAATTAATTATACTAATAAAAACTCTCGTCACATATATTTAATTAAAGTACCCACAATTTCGGTAGAGCAACTTTGCTACGTTCATCTTCATATGTTTACAGTTTACACTTTACAGATCTGTTGTCAAATTGTGATAACGTCTGTTTTGCTAGGGGGTGGGGTGGTCTTCAAAGTTAAAGCAACTACTGTCATAAAAGATCATTTTTGGAGAGCTGATTCAAAATTTCTCACAAGAAAATGACATTTTTGAGATGAAAACACAATAATTTATAAAATTCATGAATATTTATTTGAAATTAAAATTATATTAATTTCTACATTTTTATTATCACTGCAATTCAACCATTTACTCAGTTAATTATTTAAATAATGTCTTATTAATACTCCTGTCTGATAGAACTAAATATTTAGAAATCCAATTTGATAAGTCATTTTAAATATGTAAAAGCACAGTATGCATAATCAATATATCTTCGAAAAACAACCAGCCCATGAAAATGGGTTGCTGACAGAAATAGACTTCTTAGATTAAATAAGTCTCATTAGATCAAAGCTTGACTACAATTGTAATTCTTTATGTCTAAAAATGAAAAAAAAAAAAAATTAGACACTGCATGCAACACGGGTCTTAGAATTTCCACCACCATCATTTACAAAAACAACATACTGTGTAATTCCAACTTCGAAATGGTTTAATAAAAATAATATCACTGTACCAAAATTAGTTAAAATCAGCGCAACCCATAGTTACTCCTTGTCACCCCATAGTCCCTCCTAGGACTAAAACTATCAAAATTACCAAAAGAACAAAAAACCCACAAAAAAAAAAAAAAAAACTCATTTTCTACAAAAATGAATTCTTACAACTTCTCAGTAATTTTCCTAACTGTTACTTCACCGATGACTATACATCATCCACAGGATGTGGCGCTACTGTAATAAATGACTTTCATGAATGCTTATTTACACTCTGATTTTTGAAAACTTTACAGCAGACCTTGTAGTGCTTTAGCATTGCCTAAGTATGCCTGAGCAAGCAATATAAGATTCAACTTTCTGCGACTCCGCTGTCTCACTTCTAACAAAAAGTAAATTCTCATAAACCACATGGGTCCAAAGCATAAATAAACAATAAATTTTCCTTTGTCAGTTAAAGATAGGGCATACATGACTTGCCCTTGGACACTTAATGACCAAAGAACCAAGGCAATTTGCAACATATGTAATAAAATTCTGATTATAATACACTTTTTACATCATGCCAAAGTATACGACAGTCAATTTTATTACCCAACATTCTTTCTAACATTTTAGATGGCGGTGGTCCACATAATGAATTACTTAAATTCTACTAAGCCTATTATAATAAAAATAAGTTCTACAATGAACAATGAACACCATGATTTATAAAACAATTTTTTTTAAATTTATCATTATTTGTTTACAAAACACCAGAAATTATTGAAAACCTAAAATGATTGAGCCCTTAGCACTGAATATTTAATTTTACTTTTCAACAGGGAAAAATAGTGAATGCAGAATAAACTTGGGTTGACATGTGCAGTCAATACATATTTACAAACGTATGACCATATCAATCATTATTATTATTATTTTTTTTTTTTTAAATTCAAATTTGAATAAGCACAAGATTATCCGGAGAGGAATGGAAATCATCATAATCTACTTTGGTCATGATCATGATGATCATCGGTCATCAGATCCTGGTCAGCTTATCCTCTTCATACCAACCTTTAACTTTTTTATTTATTTATCTTTTTAAACAGATGCTCTGGGCCTAATATCTCAGTTGCCCATACAGCAAGCTTATCCCTGTTCTAGTTTTCATAAAATAATTCATGCTGTGGTACTTTTATTCTTAGCCAGATTATTAGTGTAACAATCAGATCGATAACAACAGGGGAAGTGATTCACCGCTTAATGTAATCCACTTTGAATGCTGCAGGAGTTTTTATTGGTGAAATATGTATTGGAGGTCTAAATCCATTGATCATTTGCTTGGAATGTCCCCGATAAATGGAATAAATTTTCTTTGTTGTTTTTTGATATACATTTGTTTAAAAGTTAACCTATTACAGGTACATGGGGTTACCGATTTCTAAACTGTTCCTTTTGATGAAAGCTTATCTACTTTCTCAATTTCTAAACTACACAAACATGCAATTCTGCATGGAAGACTGAAGAAGAATCTACTCCATAAACAAATTCTATCTTTTTTGTTAGGTCTGAGACATAAATTGTCAGTTTTGATTTGGGCTTTGTTTATGTTTGTTAGGCATTTCATGTCTTTTTTAAAACCCCCACTAAAATACAGGAGGGCTTTTAACGTCTAACTACTGATTGGGTATATGGACGAGAGGTCAAACCACTTTATAATACTTTTTCATATTAATCTCAATTAAAATTCCATTGTCTGTCAGGATTCATACCCAGAACCACTAGCAAGGCAAATATGAGTCAGCCCTAATGACTCGTTCCCCATATTTGTGGCTTTATGTACAATTACACGAGGCAGCTTTTTTCGTTTTCCTCATTGTGATAGGTTAATTCCTAGTCTCTGAGGTTAGTATGCTCTGTTTATCTTTTTTTTATCTTTAGCTTATCTCATTATCCTTGATTCTTTTACATCCTCGTACAAAAAACAGAGGCACTTCATTATTCTTGGCCAGTGGTTGTAAGTTGTTTAACTAAATTTATACTCTTTGTGTCTTCTAATATTCAGCCATCAGGCATGTTAATCCATTTTAATATTGTAGAAGAATATAGAGAAATATTTTGGTCAACTTTGGTGTTCCTGCAGTCCAATTTTTAAGCCATAGGCTTATTGTAATTAAAAAAAAAAAAAAATAAATAAAAAATAAAAATGAAATAAAAAATAAAGCTTGGAATTTAAAATAAATTAAATTTTTAAATAATAAAAAAAATGTGTAACATAAGGAAAAGTGAGAAAATCACTTGCTGAGTGTAGCAATGTTTCACTCGCCTTATAATTCGCTCCTGTAGGATAACACCTGTCGGTCTGCTCCAAGGCCTTAGTTTTCCACCGGGAATGATGAGGAAATGCACTTAACACCTTGGCTGTGAAACATAAACAGCACTTTTTGGAAGATAATTTTCTCTTGTTGCAATAAAAGAGGAGAAATACTTTGTTGAAAGGGGAAAAACGTTAACTAATTTTATGATATTGAGAACGAAGAGCTCGGCCAGAGAGAAACCAAAGTCAACCAGTAAAACAGACAAAATCAAGAAGCCTAACACAATCCGCCCACTAAGCATCTCATCATTTGGTGAGCCAATCAGAGGTCGGAGGCTTAAAATAAAGAGACCTGACTTGAAATTTAATAATTTTTTTAATTAACTAATTTTTAATAAGAAAATAAAATAAATTTTGGCGTAAACATAGGCACCTCAATGATCTTGGTTTTCACAGGTGGCTATAGATCTTAAGATGAGAGACATCCTCACCCCTTTCCCTTAATAAGGTTGATGTAGTTATATTAATAAAAATACCATGTATATTTTAATAAAATATATTATACAATTTATTCTTTTATATCTAAAAAATAAATTACTTATAGCATATAAGCAGGATGCTAGTCTATATATTACTTATATCTTTACAGGAAAAACATAGTGCATGCTTTATGATACTGGTTTTATCATTTTAAAATGCTTATTATAGTCTTTTGAATTGTTGTGCTTGTATGCAAAAAATTGTATACAGTTGTTAAAAAATCAAACTTGTTTGGATCTGTTATAGAGTCTCCTTTGTATAAAATTTATACATATAAGAATAATAATTTTTTAAGGACTCTGCTTATCTTTTTTTCCAAACTTTTGTGAACTTGGCATGGAATGTGTTTTATCAAGACCCTTTGACCACTTTCTAGCCTTCTTTATTCCTAATTTTTTTAATAAAACGACTTGTCTATAAATGTAAACTACCGTAACAAATAAAAAGTAGTTTTTGTTACGCCTTCATATAATCTTCATGGCGTTTTGTTAAATCTTGTATTATCTTCTTTTCAATTTCTACATGATTTTTAATCTCTTCTTCAGTCAATTTAATATCATGCTGTGCGTCTTCCGTTACTATTATAACATGATGTTTCCTCGTTTGGAGTAAATTTCCAATTACAAGCTTAAAAAATAAATGAATAAATAAAAATGAGTAAATGGTTTATTACGACTATCATGGTAGAATTTAAACTGACTTTGTGATTGTATTTTTGCAGTGCGCCCCTTGCTTTTGAAACTAAGATTTTATCATCAGTTTCCAGTTTGAAAGAGACGACGTAAGCATTGGGCACCCAATTTAAGACGAGAGGTTCTAAAATTTTTGGTACAAGTTGAAGAGATATTGTAGGAGCACCAGTGCTAGATTGAATTTTGTGCGTTGGCTGCAATCAGAAGTGTGATAATTGTTAAAAAAAATAAAATAAAATAAAAATATTTAAAAAAATAAATAAAATACCATATTTTCTTCTGGAATGTAAAAGTCAGACACAGCAGCCGCTAAATAGAGCATCGCCGCCTTATTGTAATTGCTGAGAGCCTCACAGGCTTCTCTAAGCAGCCACAGGTACTCTGTGAGCGAGTTGTACCCGATTCTCAAGTACCGGTCTTTAGCGTTTTTGTAAGCCTTAAGGATCGGCAGGACATATTCTATTTTATCAGGTGTAACTGGAAACATAGTGACTGATTAGTTTCAAATGGTGATCATTTTACAAACTCTACCTTCTATCCTTGCCTTCTCATCATCCTCTTTTATGTCAAGTACATCGAGGAAATTGTTATCAAAGTGGCGTATAAATGGTTCCAATGATTTTATCCTAGAAACAAACGATTATACAGCTTAAAATTTTCATTAATGTCTAAATAAAGTAAATTCCTGCCATACAGGAGGGCTTAACCCAATAAATACGAGTCAGATGCCCCAACCACTTGGCAACCGCAGTCCTCTAAATAATGTCTTGGACAAATGAAATATTACCTATAGAGGAAAATGACATAATATCCTTCTTTGAGAAAGTATTCTGTCGATGCTGATCCTCTCGTACCAGCACTGAAATTGTCAAGGTATCGTACTGTGTTCTTTTCTAAAGGTACTGTAGTTCCACCGGACTGAAATACAAACACATCAAATTTAAAATCCAATCCTATTCATAAAAAAACAAACAAAAACACTCACTGTCACAAGGACAATTTTTTCAAAAGGGTGGCATTGGCAAAACTGTTTTATTAAATTCTTCTTCCTTTCATTTTCCGGTGTTGTTTTAATACTGGCAAAGAATTCTTTCCAAGATGACATCCCTAATTTAAATTAAAATCGCCTGTATTCTATAATATTTTGAGCTAGTTATGTATTTGGAGGACAAGAATTACTTTCAGGGGACTGTCAGTCAGACTAATTCTAGATTTTCTTACTATCTTTAACTCTAATTGTGTTAGGGTAAAATCTTTAACTTTACTACCTTCTCCTATAAGTCAACCATACGCGCTGTCTCACTGTTGACTGTACTTGACAAATAGGAGGTAACTGTAAAGTTAACTGATGATTCAATTAATCTTCATGAATCATCACAATTTAGTAACCCAATAGAAAAAAATATATTTTGATAAAATAAAATAATATTTTACCATATATTTTTATTTAACAGAAACATTAAATTTTTTTTGGTTTCAAATTTCGAAATGCAGAAATAAATAATTACTTTCAATTAAATTACTAATTAATCCATATATGTATTTAGTAGTCATAATTGACCATATTAATTGTTTTAATTAATTATAATTGTTCTGGTTGAAATGAAAAAGCTAGTGGTCATGAGCAGGATTCGAACCCATATCCATACCATAGCTAAAGCTCAAGTGGTTAAAGCAACGGGGTATTGAGCCGAAAATTATGGGTTCAAATCCCGCTTGTGACATAGCTTTTTCAACTTAAAAAAAAATCAAGACAGATAAAAAGAATAATAATTAAAATTACTTATTAATGATTAAATTGTGTAAGAACTTTATATATAGAATATCTTCCAGCTTAATTTCTGCTCTGCGGGTATTATATCAACATTATCCTTGGAGTCAACTTAATAAATGCTGATGTAAACTATCAAGCTACCAAGACCCTCTTCAACTTTACATCTGCTCGGGTCTTTGAATTAGTTACATTTAATATAACTCTTGTGTTGAATATATATTTGTAAGTTTATATTAAATAAACATTTTTTTAAAAACACGGGTCCTTACATTGAAAAATTAAATGTGTGGTGATTAGTGACCGTTAGTCCATAATTATTCAGAAATCGTGAGATGCGGTCTGGTGTGATGTAGGTTTCAGAAAAACATTTTCTTTATCGTGCCAATGTTTCAATCTTTATTGAGATCATCTTCAGGGCATCTTCAGAGCCCCATCTCATGATTTTGGAATAATTATGAAAAATTAAACATTACCATGATGAGATATTAGCTATTCAATGTTTCTGGAAAGGGGGTTCATGGCTTTATTAAATTCTATACTAATTTTATAAGCCTTATGTTTAATTTTATAAGTTTTTTCAACTCCATTTTTAACTTTAAATTTACTAAAAAATATTTTCTTAAATTTTTTATGACTTATTTTTGTTGGTTGTAATGTTAAGCTAAAATTTATAAGTTTTAAATCAACTCACAGTAGCAGGTGACACACTTTCATGTGAATTCCCATTTGTAGAGGCTCATTTTAGATTTTCTTCCTTTGTGGTAAACAATTAAATTGAAGAAAATTATATTCCCTAATCTTCTCTGCAAGTGGCCTACCAAATACACAAGTTATAGTTGTCTTCCTTCTTGCCACCACTATATTCCTTAGGCTATTGCACAAGGTGGTCAAGCCATGGTGGCACAAGTAGACGATGAGGCTGAAAAAGGTAAATTTCGCATTCTGCAAGGGGTGCCGGTTGATGTGAGAAACCAAATTTAAAAAAAGTATATTAGTTAATATAATCCTACAAACTAATACATTCAATACAAGAATTCACTAATAGATACGAATAAAATAAATACTAGTTTGGAGTCCCGAGTAGATCTGATGTTGAAAAACAGTCTTGATGCTTAGCTCGACAGTTTATACAGCATTTATTAAGCTGACTCCAGGGATAATCACAATTTAATATGCACGTAACAACAATTAAAATATAGGCAGTCATCAATTGTTGAAAGTAAAATAAATATTTATACTGAGAGAGAGAGAGAAACCCTGAAAATAAGACACTTTTTCAAGTTTAAAAGATGATGTAATGTTTTTTTCTTTTTTTTAAAATTTTAATCATAGTAATAACAGTAACAATCATAATTTCCGACAATTGTCTGAAACACTTATGGTTAAACTTTAAATGTATCTCCAAGACCTTTCGAAAGTTAAAAAAAAGAACACGCAAGTTAGTAATAAATTCAAATGAAAAATGGAAAACAAGTCCTTTGGCTTATTTAATCAAAAATCCAATCTAGAAACAAATTTCTAATTGGCCATTATTTGATCAATAAAACATTTGAGGTCTCTGATTGAGACGGTCTCCAGGGCAAATAGGATGAAGGATTCTTAGTTTGGATTTAGTTTTAATCTAATTACAACAGTCTGAAACCCTATGTCACCCAGTTACAGTTATTTGCAAGGATATTAGTTTGAAGACTGTTAGGCCTATTAATTAAACTTTGCTCTGTTGAACTCGCACAGCACAATAATAAAATATTGAAAAAGATTATACAGTAGGATTATCATTTGTGCCTTCTTGAATTCAATTTTAAAATAAATATGCAATGGAAGACAAAAATTGATACAAAAACTATTATTACTGTTCATATAGCGCTAGTAAAAATAATAAAATTATCTATTATCACCATGTTTTATGAATCCTAACAATAAAAACTTCAATAACACACAAATAAAATATTTTTTTGTTTAGATTATTATCCAGATCAAATACATAGTAAACATAATAACTCTAGTAATGTACCATCGGTTAATACAGTAATTTCAATAATTTAAAATGAGATAAACTTTATAAATTTAGCTCCTTAATATTTTAAATGATGTAATTTTGTACAGCAAATATTGAAAAATTTTTTGTGAATAATTTTAGTACTTTATATTGATCAATAGAAATGAATAATGCAGAAACACAGAAGGGGTTACACAAAAACGTTAATTTTCATGTCATTAAAAGCATTGTAGGGTTACATCAATTAAATATAGGTAGGTGGATGGAGTATGGTGGTGGGATGGGAGAGTCGTACGTTATCCAATTATAAGAAGCCTTGGTTTGCTCGGTGTTGAGTTCCATTTCTTGTCTTGTTGTTATCTAACTCTCCTCTAGTTTTCTCTTATGACACAAAAATGGTGAGTGGATACAAGTGACAAAATTAAATGTTAACTTTGAAGACCTGTTTTTTTTTCACAATTTGAAAATTTATGAAATTTGAAAAGATTGTTCGTTTTGCGCCAATTGAAAAAAGAAAAGAATTTATTATTTTTTATAACAAAAATTTGAAATCTACTTTTGGTGGTATAGCCAATGTTAAAATGTCTCAAGTTCATAGGTCACCCTTTAAAGAAGACTAATTAAGGCATTGTTAATTTATTAGTCATTCAAGTTTAATTTGAAACTTCAGACGTACTGTACTATTTCAAGGCATTTGAATTTATTTCTTGAGTATATAATTTTTCCTTAAACTTTGTGCTTTAATAATTAAACTATTATTGTTCCCTTTGAATTTTGAATCTTCTTCTTGTAATGAAAACAAAAACAAAAAACACCAATATTATTTGATATAAACTTATAGATTTATTAATCCATTTATATTTGGTGGTATAATTGATCAAATTACTTATTTCAATTAACTATTCTTTTTATGTCTCTATCTAATTATTAACGATTGTTTGGAGATCATGAGATGCGGTCTGGTGTGACGTAGGTTTTAGAAAAACATTTTCTTTATCGTGCCAGCATTTCGATCTTTATTGAGATCATCTTCAGGGCCTGGGATTTATAAACATTGTTTAAATTTTACAAATACATGTAGGATGTGGAAAAAAGAATTTATACAATGCTAGAAATTTTAGATTCAATCAAAGCGTCATTCTTGTGAGTCGTGTTGAGAGTGCCAGTGAGATATTGACACATCTACTCAGAAAACAAACACTTTGAGTGAGTAAAAATACTTTGAATGAATCTAAAGTTTCTAGCATTGTATAAATGAATTTTTTTCACATCCTGCATGCATTTGTTAATTAATGATTATTTGGAGATCTTGAGATGTGGTTGGTGTGAGGTAGGTTTAGAAAAATCTTTATCGTGCCAACGTTTCGATCTTTATTGAGAAGAAGGACACACAAAACAAACACTTTGAGCCCTGAAGATGATCTCAATAAATATTGAAACGTTGGCTAAACACCACACCAATTATTAACTTTTTCATCTCAACCAAGACCTTACATAAAAAGAATAATTAATTGTTATAGATTTATATTTCATAAATTTACACATTAAATTTAATCTAAAATAGCGTAAATGTTTAATTAAACTTTTAATATTTTCAATAATGTCTAATTTAAAAAACACAGTTTCATCATTTTAGTAGCTTCCTAAATTTTTTTATGTATAGAAATATGAATTTCAACCATAAGTATCAAATAGAAGACATTTTAAGGACTGTTGCTGGGTAGCAATCTTACTTCAACTTACTTTACCACCACGTTGTTACTGATATATGTACATACAGAATAGCACAACAGAGAGCATTGTATTTTGTTAAAAGTTTAAATTAAAAAAAATTAAAATAAAATAAAAAAAATTAAATTATATCAGAATCTTTCATTTAGTTAAAAAAAACCTTGTATGTCAATAGTTAAGCTAGTGTACTAATTGTAAGCTATAAAGGTTGACTCCTTTAGAGTCTACTTAATTGATCATATAAATTGACCACATGATATTTCTTTAAGAATAATTAAATTAATAATAATAATAAATTTTTCATATTAAACTTTTTGTTTTTAGAGTCTACAGGCTCTAATGCACTTAGCTCTATCCATAATGATGACATCGTTGGTGCTGATGTTCTGGCTTACCTATGCATCAGGATATGTTTGTCATTTTGATCCACATTGCACTTGTTCCATGTCCTCCTCCGTGCAGCACTTAGGTAATGTCGAGTGCAAGGATGGTCCTTCGTATCTTCCAAGCTTCAACACTTCAAAGCTGGTCACCCTTTCGCTGGTCAACAACGACATGCACAATTTACCCCCCAATCAGCTGCTTAGAACTGGTTATTAATTACCTTTTAAAAAATCCATTTTAATATTCTGCCTTATGTAAAGTTAATTTTTGTTATAAGGTTTGTATAAATTGGAGATTTCAAAAAATCCTATTTATTATCTCCATGAAGAGTCTTTAACAGGGCTTGAGAGGTCACTATGGGAAATCCACATAACAGATTGTAAATTATCTAATATTCCTGCCAATGCTCTGCGGCACTTAAACAAATTGAAGATCCTTAATCTAACAGGTAATTTTATATTTAAAATAACTTTCATATTATAACATTTCTCACTATATTAATTAAATTTAGGAAATGACATATCTACAATAACATCCGAACAGTTGAAAGGTGTAGCCAACTCTCTCAACAAGCTCATTCTAGCGGACAATCACATTTCAGTTCTTCCTCATGGTGTTTTTTCAAGCCTAAATCAGTTAGAAGTGCTGGACATACATGGGAATTCAATTGTATCTCTCGAACCCGGCGTGTTCACACCACCTCCAGCCAAGCTCAAGATTTTAGATTTATCTGACAATCTGATCGACAGCATGTCCTACAAGCAGCTCGCCAATATCAAGTAATTCAGGTAAATTCGTTCAACACTGAATGTTATTTATTTATCGGTTGTTTCAGAATGTTACATACTTTGAACTTGAATAGTAACAAGATCTCTACGCTTTATGATGCTTCCACAAATGTCAAACTTGTGCTGGACAAACTGTTTTTAGAGTATAACGATATTGAGGAGCTTATTTCAATGTCAATGACCAATTTTGATGTGGCTAACATTACTTCTTTCAAAGGAAATCCATTGGTCAATATTCAGGTTGGTTCAATGTTTTTCATTTTTGTACATAATTTCAATAAATGTTTTTTGTTTTATATTTCTCAGCCGAATGCATTTCAAGGCTGCCGAATTACTGAGTTAAATTTGTCCAACTGTAAATTAAGGCAAATAGATCCAGAGTCATTTAACGGACTTGAAAACACATTACAGTCTTTAGACTTAACAGGCAACAATATTTCTACATTTAGTTTTCCCTTACTTTTAGTAAGTTTATACATCAGTATTTGTTTTTCCATTGTTAAAAAGAATTACTTTTAGAAATATGAAAATTTGAGGTTGCTGAATTTAGACTACAATAACATCAAAAATCTCCTTTGGATGAATCATCCAGAAGAGATGGAACAAGAGGTCCAACTGACAGAACTGTCTTTGACTGGAAAAACAAATAGTCCTTTTGTATGGAGTAAATTACCAAAGTGAGAACATTTTAACGTTTAGTTTTTGTCAATGCTGACTTAAAACTGATTTACCAAATGAAATAAGAGCTTTTAATCTTGCAGGATGGTCCATCTTCAGTCATTGGCTGTCTCGAGAATAGAGCAACCACATATAAATCCAAAGGACTTTCAGCAATTTTCTGTTGAACTGGAGACACTTAAAATCAACGATGGTAATCTGAAATCCCTCAATCGACATATGTTTCAGATGGTACGAGGAATTAAAACTCTTGACTTGACGGACAACACGATAGAAAAAATTGATGCAAAAAGTTTAATAGAGGTAAAATGACTATCATTGAAATAAAATATCATTATGTTTAAAAAAATTCTTTTAGATTTCACATTCATTGGAACATCTCATATTAACGCATTCTCTAGACAAAAAAATCAGAACTTTTCCAAAAGGTTTCTTTAAACATTTAAACACACTGCAGGTGCTAAAAATCAATCATAACTTTCTTCAAAAAATTCCTTCAGACATACAGTTTCTTTCAAATCTTGAAATTTTCCATGCACAAGACAACAATCTAGATGGCATCCCAAAAGGAAGTTTTAAGGCAGGTATAATTATATATTTTTGAGATAAAACAAAAGAATTACAAATGTTTCTTATAACAGGCAAGGAATCATAAATTCCTGCATGAAATTGATCTCTCATTCAATAAGATTACAAAAATCTCTTCGAAAACATTTGCTGATCTTATTGAGTTGACCGAAATCAATCTATCTGACAACAGAATTGTCACCATTGAGCACGGGTCATTTGTAAACTTGGAAAAACTCACACACCTCTGGCTCCGTGGAAATAAAATACAATATCTGAATTCTGAGCTTTTTCAAAATCTACCTGCCCTTTCTGTTCTCGATCTGGCATACAATTCTCTGGTCGATTTCAACTTTGCTTGTCTTGATCAGGTCTGGATTGATATAATAAATTTTTATATTTCAAATTTAATATTTAAATAATTAATTGAAATTTTATAGGTGGGAATGCTGTCTTCACTGAACGTTAATGTTAGTCATAATTCAATGAATGCATTAAAAGGGAATTCAACTGATTCTTCAATTTCCATTTATATAAAAGTTAGTATTTTATAATGAGTTTAAAATCTCTATGTGCAGGGGAAGTTAGTTTATTAGCATCAACATATGTGTTTGCAGATTGTAGATTTTTCCCATAACAATATATCAAGTGTGGACAAGACTTATTTTATGCCAGTGCAGCACAGCTTGACTAAACTTTTTATGTCTGACAATGCGATGATAAATGCTACGAGGGATTTATTTCCTGAAATGTTACAGTTGCAACTTTTGGACATGAGTTTCAACCAAATGAATGAAATTGAATTTGACGCTCTCAGAAGTCTTAAGCAACTCCAGGTTTTTGTTAAATCAAACAATAATTTTCATTAGTTGAGTATGAGATTTGCTAAGTCTGATACTTTTTTAGATCATTGATTTATCTCACAACAACCTTACGTCAATTCCAATAGGACTTTTCCAATCTTTGAATTCAGTAAGGCACATTGATCTTTCTTCCAATCACATTCTTCAACTCTTTGACTCGATCATTTCTCCTGCGTCACTTATTAGTGCTGATCTGTCGGATAATTCACTTCTTCGTGTACCACTCACAGCATTCTCACCATCAGCAGCGATGAACGTCTTGGAACTCTCTTTTAGAAATAACAAAATTACTAATTTGCCTTCTTCTGAAAGCTTTTCAAGGTTTACAGTAGGTATTAACAGTATGATTTGTATTCTTTATTTTAAAAATGATCTTTATTTTCTTGTATGTATTTTGTTTAATAGAAATTAAGATCATTGGATGTTTCATCAAACAGGATAACAGATATGGGAAGTGCTTTTAATTTACTTCCAAGCCTCACAGATTTGAAGATTGGCAATAATTTCCTTCATATCGGCAACAGAGATTTTGTTGGATTGGAAAATACTCTTGAACACTTGGATATTTCAAATATTTCTATCAGTTATGTAAGAAATATTATTAATATTAAACGTACAAATATTCATTATATTACTATTAATTTATCACATAAAATAGCCCTTTCCATGATCCAGCCCTTTAATGCTAAAAATTTAATAAAGAACACGATTAAAAGAAAGTGGAAGCATCAATGGGCCGGATCAGCAGATAAGCGCTTGCATATCAAGAGCACTAGGTGGTCCTCGGAGGATCTGTCTTGTAGAAGAAAGATCATCCTCACCCAATTAAGAACAGACCATGCGAGATAGACACACAAACACTTATTTCTGGGCCAAGGTCTGCCAGTTTTTTATTTTTTTTATTTCATCTGTTCCCTTAGTGATTAAAGATTTTCACAATAATTTGAATCAACAGTACACTTTAATATTTTAATTTTAATTTTAATGAAACCATAACATTATCAAAATGATTTATTAGTTTTACAAACTTGTTCAACAACTCTAAATTAATTGAATTTATAAAAAAAAATTTCTTTGAATTTTGTAATTATTTGGGTTTGATCATTGGCCACTTAATAGGACTTCCTTGTTGAAAGCTGATCTTTGAAGCTCAAAAAAAGTACAGTCATAGATAGTGCTTTTATGTTTGGTCATTTGCATTACACGAGGACCCAGAGTCATTGATGATCTTAAAGCGATGAAGATATGAACGGTTTTTACCATACCCTGTGAGAGCCATGGTGGTTTTGAACGAATGTGATATTTCCATTCCTATTCTTTGTTTTACGCTATGATAAAATAGTTTGGTTACTGCAGTCCATTCATTTTCCCACTTTGCCACTGTTGTATGGCTATATTTTCAAGGAAACTTTTTGAAGCCTTTGTGATATCCATGTTCACTGACTTCTGCAGCCTCCTTTTCATCATCTGCTAGTTCATTCCCCACATAGTCAATATGCTCTTTTATTAGCACAGTCACTGTCCATCCTAAGTTATTTCTGAGAACTTTCAATTTATTACAGATTTCTTCATCCAGATTTAAGTGATTTGATTTATCTTCAATCATATTCAGTCCTGTATGTATTTTCAGAGTTCTATTTGTTGTCTTCTTCTGAATTTATTAATTTTTCTAAAGCCACCCAGATTGCAAGAAATTCCACTTGATTATTGCTGGACCAATTAGCTAATTTCAATTTTGTAATACAAATAAGAGTAGGCAACTGCTGTGCATCCCACACCTGCAGAACTTTAACGCCCGTCTGTAAATACTTCATACATTGGTTGTGCTTGCTTCTTTCCAAGTGCATTTTCAATCTCAGCCGGATGATTTCCATTTCAATGGGCAAATTTCGCTTTAGTTGTGGATAATGGGTGAAGGTGTTTCTATTATAGATGTCTGCTATTTCAGTAACTACAACTGGTCCTACCAGTAAGCATGCTCGCATGACAGGATATTGTCCTGAAGCCTCTAATTAGACATAGAGGTATTCTTCGTTGAACCCTTCTAGTCTCACAATGTTATATTTTTTATTTAAAGCATCAGACCAAACAGGAGCTCCATATAAAATTATAGGTGAAATTGCATTTTTATAACGCTACTTAACGCTCTTCTTCCAAGACTCCAGCAGACTTTGAAATCATGTTAATCAATTGCGACGTTTTTAGTATTCCACCATCCTAACTCAGTGAATGGTATGTAAATAAAAAAGAATGTATTTAAAAGAGTGAGTGAGAGTGTGAATACGAGACTGATTACATTGGGGGCTGAGATGACCTAGCTGTTGATAGTCTGTGAAGCCCAACCTCAGTGATTGGATGGATAAGACCAAGATCTGACCCCGGACTGCCAACACTCGGGGTGGGTGATTCTCAAGGCCTACTACTAATTTATTGTAGATTACACAAAAGCTGGAATTATTGGTGGGCTATGATAAATAATAGGTTCTGTGTATGTATATGCATGTGCGTAGCAGGGCTTACATAAATCAGTAGAATAGTCCTTTCTTTTCTTTGCTATTCATTTAGAGATATATTTATAGTTTCATTCTGCAATTTCAGAATCAGTTATGTGCATAGTTATGAGAAATACATACTGAACTCACTCATATACACACAGTATTATAAATTTTGTATGTTCTAGGTACCACCTATGCCACTGCCATCTCTTCGTACGTTGAAGATGGATGACAACTTCATTACGTATATTCCAATGTATTTACAATCAAATTTGACAAGTTTAAAACATTTGGACGTCTCGTACAACGCTCTTCAATCGCTACCTGATGTTCCTCAGTTGAATATTTTGAACATAGCTGGAAATCCGATTTCCTCAATAAACAATACGAGTTTTGTTGATTTTCCACACCTTGTCGAACTCGACATACGTGGCCTTCCTCTTCACGAATTTGCTGTTGGTTCAATGCTATTTTCATTTACAAAGTTTTTTCAAAAATTATTGTATTTCACCTATCTTTTTGTTTAAGATTGAAGGGTTAGTTCCATTACAGGATCTGGAGACACTGCACATAAGCAATTATAAGAAGCTTCAAAATTTTAATGTACCTACATACATTAAAGACATGGAAGCTTTGCGAACACTCCACTTTGAGGTATAAAGAATTCTTTATAAAACATATCCTTAAGTTTATGTAGAAAACAATTATCAGGTCACTGGTGCATCGCAAATAGGAACTGAGTTAAATGGGCTTCTCTCAGAGAGGATAAATAATCTTATAATAACTGGACACGAACTCAAATCTCTGCCTGATAATTTACTCCATGTAAATATGAATACATTTACATAATTATTGCCCATTATTCAATGGTTTTTATTCAAGGGAGTGCAAAGTCCAGTTTTCAAGCTGACTCTGAGAAATACAAGCGTTGAAAACATTCAGGCAAAAGTTTTTTCTAAAAATTTGCGCAGCTTGGTTTTGGATGTGGAGGAAAACTATCTGACTGCGTTGGGCAACCCATCTAATGTAGATGGTCCAAACAGACCCCATTCAACTTACCTCACAGAACTTTACTTAAGTGGAAATAAGTGGAATTGTGATTGCAAACTCGGGTAAAATTATTTTATAAAATGATATATTTATAAAATCAAAACTTTTAAAAATTAATTAATATTGGAAAGAGGGTGAAAGGGTTGTTTGATAATTTCTAAATATAATAAATTTAAGTTAAACTTACTTGTTTAAAATTTAGGACAATTTGTTTCAGTTGGATTGAGACCTGGCAGAGGAAAAGGAGACAGTATGGCTCTCACGATTATACCATTGATGATGTCCGTGAAGCCCAGTGTAAAAACAAACAGAATAAATCTATGCTTTTCATCCTGAAATCGGAGCTAGAATGTGGATGGAGTGATGGAAATACTCTGGAATCCAATTTTATTTTGATCACTCTATTACTATGTCTCAAATTAACATATACATCAGCATCTTGAATCTTGCCTCAAACATAAAATTGTATTTACCTGGTTCAAACAGGTTTTGGGATTTGAACCAGGCTCTTTATTGTTGGTTATTACCATTCCTCTAAATTTGTGTCTCAAGTGCAAGAATTAACAATATTTGACATAAAAATTGATACATAATTTATCAGATAACAGGAATTTACATAAAATCGGTTTTATTTACAATTTTTTCCCAGGAGCAGCAGCCAAAATAAAAACCGATTTTTAAATACAATTCAAATGTTCTACATCTAGGTTAAATCAAAATTTAAATTCCAATAATTTTTTTGCCCAATCTGCTTTCAAAATTAATTTAAATTTTACTTGTATTGTATGTACAAATTAAAGTTTAATTGTGTTTTACAATTTTCATAAAATGCACTAAAAGTATGTTGAAAAAAACTGCCTAGGTTTAAGGAAAAAAATATTTTATGCAATGCATTTGAATAAATAATTTTATTATTACTGTTCATATAGATTTATAACAATGGAAATAATTTAACTAGTGTGAATATTTAATTTTCAAATCTTTACAACCCAATAAACAGCTTAAACTTTTCCCTTATTTAACAAAATGTATTTTTTCAAAGTTAGAAAAAATAATTTACAAGAAGAGTTAGAAAGAAAACAAATTTTTTAATTTATAATTGCTTCTCTTGCATCGAGTGATCTTGGAAATTGTTTCTGTGAACAAAGAAGAGTTACAACACATAAATTACTGCCATAATGAGAACGATATAGAATAAACAATTCATTTATGAAATTATTTATACATGTAAAAAGAATAATTGTGATTTTTATAAAAAAATATAAATAAATAAAAAAAATAATGCTTAAATATTTGTTATGTGAGAATATAGAGAAAGTACATAGAAAAAGTATGTTTTTTGTTTGTTTATTGTTTTATTATGAATATAAAGCTCACACAAAACAAAAAATTTCATACTTGTTTTCAGGCTTTCACCCCGAAGGGTTGTCACTCCCCGATGTGCCTTAGTGTTTATATGTCAGGAAGTTCACTCACCTTGTTATGTGGCTGGATCGCTAGTATCCCCCTTAAGACAAATGGCCAGGAGATTGTCACTTCCCTATCAGCGGGGTTAGGTTCCGATGAGGGCTATCAACAATATTTCAACCCCAAACGCATGCAGTCTATAATCTAGCCTAAACTTACTATTAAATTTGATAAATCAGTCACACAAATAAATACATTCTAGCATTGTGCTCATTCCTCCACTGACCTGTACACAGTATTAATAATCTAACCTAAATTAGGGTCGACGAGGTACTTTTATAAGTATTCCACCATCTACCTTACACACACACACACACTGCTGGAAAGGGGTGGATGACACTATATTTCACTATCACTCCTCACCACTCACGCTAATAAATACACATTCAAATGAAACACATAATGACAAAACATATAGGAAATAACTATATACAGTAAAATATCCCCACGTCTTCTAAAAAAGAGAACAGGGAACCCAGAAAGTAGCTGTGTTCAAGAGCCATTCTTAAACACGCTCTCTTTATGGAGTATATATACTTGTTATCAAAATCCAGCAAAGGTTTTGCATAAATTTATGACCAAATAATAAAATTAAAAAAATTGTTTTGAAATTTGCACATATTACTTAATATTACATGCCTGGAATAAAAGAGAAATAAAAAAATATCTTTCAGGCCTAGCCTATGGAAGCTGGGTCTGGATGGGTATAGGTTGTTGCACTACATTGAACATAGGTCACACCAATGGGCACTTCCTCACAAGGGTGAAATAACACTGTGCCTATTATGTTGGGAAATAGACACTGTACAATCAATAATAATAACAAATTGAGCGTGCAAAGAACTAACTTTGACATTCAATGACCTAGTCCGGGCATTGGGGCACAGCAGCAGACAGAAATCGTTGATCCAATACCTAAAGGTTACCCAATACCCTGGGTTGGCAGTTGGTTGAATTCAGGGCTGTTGGATTCCAAACCAGCACTTTTACCTTACAGTGATGAGCGCCATGTCAATGCCTTAATTGTTGCAAAACTGACCTATTAATAATGTAAGGTAATAAAACTGCATAAAATATTTACTAGGTAATATTATATGCAAATTAAGCAAATTTAATTTGACATTTTGAAATGGAATCTTTCACCGTTAGTACAATTTTATTTTTTTCATAAAAAATTTTCCAAAATTTAGAGAAAGAATTTCTTTTCCAACAGAATTGGATTAGACAGTAAGGGTTGTTTATACAATAATTAAGTCAGCTTTGGTTTTGTACCCCAATTGATTTTGAATTTAATCCGATTGAACACTTTTATGTAGTAATAAATCCAAGTCAATTTAAAGATAATCAAAAAGCCTTTTAATGGTCCAGTTATATATTATATAAAAGAGCGCTAAATTTTTGTAAAATAACTTTTTATGACAGGCCATCAACAAACTTATATGGACATGTGTTCTTTTTTTAATCTCGCTTGTTTTTATTACAGTTTCAGTCCTGGTAAACAAGCTATATTAACACAATCAAAATTTTTCCCACACTTAATCTATAATATTTGTGACTTTTAAAAGTAAAAAATATCATTTTAATGGTTAAAGTTGAAAAAAGGCATGTTTTTGTGAGAAAAATTTGGTATTCTATTCAATTTCCATGTACCAGTCCATTAGACAAAGATTAAAATGAATTATAAATAATTTGCCCATAATATTAAATGAAGCCTCGGAAAAATGTCTCGGTTCGTGAACATGTTAGCCTGGAGGATAAGAAACATGCAGATGAGACGGTGAACACCAGGACGTCCCACCCTTCATACCACCATCGCAATCCGGTCCTCTGATTCTAAGCTTGCAGTGAAAAAAATGATAAAGGAAAGATGGCACCATCAATGGACGGGGTCATGATTCAAGAGCATAACCGGTAGATGGCCTTCAGAGAACCTGAGCCAGAGACGAGGGATCGTCCTCACCCAATTGATGATTGGCCATACGTGGTTGGCACACCAGCTTTGGGTGAAAGCCTTTTCAGGTGCCCCTTAGAGAAAGATTGCTCAATGTGTCCCACATAATAGAGGCGTATTATACCTAGGCTTCATACAGAGTGTGTAGGTATGCCACCGGATTTAAGAATGGTCTCGAGCACGGAAAGCAGTCGGTTTCTGGATCCCTTGTTTCATTTTGTAGAGGGCATACGTTTTTCATTGTATATAGTTATATTCTATGTGTTTTGTGTGAATGTGTGTATTTATTAGTGTGAGTGGTGAGGGATGATAGTGAAATACAGCATCACCGTCACCCCTCTAGAAGTGTGTGTGCTTATGGTTGATGGTGGTGTGTGCTTTAGGTAGGTTGATGGAGGAATATCCAATATTTCACAGACTAATCAGAATGAATGCAATACATGAATGTTTTTATATGTATAAATATATTTATTTGTGGGACTGACTCATCTAATTTAATTAATATTAGGCTAGATTATAGTTTGCATGGGTTTGAGGCTGAAAGACCAAGCTGTTGATAGCCACTGTTGGAGCCTAACCCCATTGGTTGGGTAGCGCCAATCTTCAGGGCATTGACTTAAGAGGGATACTAGCGACCCAGCCACATAACGGGGTAGGTGAACTCCCTGAATAATAAGAAAACAGTAAATTGTAAAATGAACCTAGCCATATAATTTATAGTAAATTTCTCAGTTATTTTCTCAGTTACTCAGGCTAAGGAGTAACCTCATCCACCTCATCAGTGTGGTGTGTCCTTTATTTGTAATAATATTCCCTGGCTATTGGCAATTTTTATACTGTTATTCTTTATCCAAAAGAAAAGTTGAATTGCAACATCACAAAGTTCTACATTGTTTTATCTCTAATCTGTGAAAACTTTCTTTTAATACCCTTTGTTTTAGTAATTATCTTTTAATATTTGTGTGCAGCATACATTATTTATTTACATCAAAAGTTTATCAGCAGTTTGCACCCATAATTGAATTTAAAACTATTTCAGACTACTATTTGTCTAAGTTTGTTGCTAAGAAAATAGTTTATCTCTCCGTCTTTAGCTTAACTTTCTAATTGTATAAAACTTCGAGCCACTCAGTTGTTTTGAAACTTTTTTGAAAAACATTTTATATTTAATTTAACACATTTTGTCCTTATTGCAATTATATGTTATAAACTGATATTTTCTAATATGTATTACTTTTATAAATATATTAAATGTAATTTTGTTCTGTGGGTTGAAAATGATTGTTTTTTATTTGTACCCTGAAATGTACATCTTACAAATTTGTGCTATGATTTTCTCCCGGCCACATCACTAGCACTACACTCCGAAGTGCTGGAGGACTGTGCCTTGAGAAACCAGCATAGGTTGGCCCACTGCTCAGAGATTGGTTGGGGGGTAAGTAGATCTTGGGTTGTTTAAGGTGATGAGAGAAAGCTGAAAGGGCTTAAATATAAGGGTTAAGGTGAGACGAAAGGTTAGAACTTCAGGAAGCGGGAATGGATCAAGTCTTGAACCAAGGGAATGTTGAGGTTTTTATGATTGGTGAAATTAGAGTCATAGTAAAGAGCTTGGAGAATACTTCTTAGTACTTTTGATTGGAATGCTTGGATAGGTTGGATACTGGATGGCTTTGAGGTATCCCATAATTCTGCTCCATATATTACGTACACGTCACGACTGATTTTGGTCCAAGTCTTCTTAGTTGTCTGTCTTCTGTTCAGTTCTTGTTACTTTACAGTTTACTGTCTAGTTATAGTCATAGGTATTTCACTTGTATGGATGTTGGCAATTCCTTGTTGGTCTAAGGAAAGTCTTTTTTTTTAAAGGTTAAAGTAATTTGGGTGCCTTTGTCCTCATTTAATTTTATCTTTTATTTTTGCACTGATCTTTGATGAGTTCCTTTGCTTCTGGATTTTGATGGTGGGTAGTGTTAGATTGGATTGGCAGATAAACAGCATAAATAGAGAAGAAAGAAAAGGATAGGATCAAGAATGTGCCCTTGTGGGATGCCATTGGTTTGGTTTTTTCTCTAAGAACTCATTGCTGTACCTTATTTTTAAGCGGCGATTGGTTAGGTCATAAGGATGGGGTGGGAATTGTTTCAGTTTGGAATTATTCCAGGATTCATGACTCTGTCAGTGCTTGGGGGTCATGTCTAAAAACCCGGTAGTACTCTTTCTTATCTAACTTGGGTAATAATCCTCATTTCAATATACTAAAATCGAAAATAATAACTTTAACATGTACACATTTTAAATATAGTAATAAGAATAGAAAAATACTGTGAGAACCGAATATATGTAAAACATGTAATTTATGGACAATTCTCCCTGCTTCTTTTGCCACTTTGGTATCTTCAATGAATTGTATTGTCTGCTTGTTATCTCTCACACCCCCTTTGCAGGACCTGGTACTACACTCAAATAAGAAGTCAGTTTGTGCTGTCAGTGACCTTTTATTTTAAATAATAGTAGAAATAGTTAGTTTGGATATATTACTTAGTGTAGTAGTTTTTATCAATTAATTATGTGTTAATAAGTTTTTTCTATTTAGAATATGTGTTTGTATCTTAGATGTCAGTCCGTTTATCGTTATTTTTATATGTGTAGAGATTAGTGACCGTTAATAGATAGTTATTCAGATATCGTGAGATGCGGTCGGGTGTGATGTAGGTTTCAGAAAAACATTTTCTTTATCGTNTGATCTCAATAAAAGATCGAAACGTTGGCACGATAAAGAAAATGTTTTTCTGAAACCTACATCACACCCGACCGCATCTCACGATATCTGAATAACTAGTTATTTTTATACATTATGGCAAATTCTGAGCTTTTGTATTGCAGGTTCATTGTTTTGTAAGGAGTGTAGCATAAATAGATCGAGCTAACTTTATATGCATACTCTCTCATATGAAGTCTGTATGATTTATTTTATTGAAATAATTCATTTTACAGAATTTCAATTAACCAAACTCAAAAGCTGCTTCATACAAATCTTGAAAGAAAAAAAATTCAATTGTTTAGTAGATAGTAGTGAAACACATTTAATTAGGCTTCCTTGTGATGTTTTAAATAATAAATTATTTAATTGAAACGAAGGAAAACGTATTAAAAGTTTCCGTCCGATTCTTCAGAATGTAGTTATGATATTAGACCTATAATATAAATGTACCACTTTTGCTTTTAGAACTGCTTTTTACTTAAAGATATAAAGGGTTTTTAACAGAAACGCTACGAAACTTGTGAAGAAGGAAAACATGAAGCAAACGCGATAAAAGAAAACACGAATTCGAACGAATTTGTTTGAAAGTGAGGCCAGGAATGGGGCGTTTTGTTATTTCGATACGGCTTTTGCCTCCTTAAACAGTTTATTTTACTCTTAGGGAATTTCAGATAAAAGGAAATACTCACCAAAAGCTGGAAGAGCCGAGGTGGTTGCTCCATAATGATGACTTGCTTGTCCTCCGGCACTTCTTCCCTCACAGGCTCTTCGGACATCATTATATTATCTTCATCACTCTCACTCCCTGCCCTGAAATGAATATCACCGACATTACATCTTTAAAATCTTAAAGAATAAGTGGATATTTTTTTCAAAAGTGTTTTACTACCTGTTCTGTTGAGCAAGAAGGATCTGGGCTAATTTCGCTTGCCTATTTTGGAGTTGGATTGGAAGGGGGGCAAGTTTGGATATAATCCATCTCGTCTCGTCATTCCCGCTCCTTTTCCCGTGCGCTGAGAAAAAGACATAAATATATAAGGTAGAGAAACAATAAAGAAAAAGAAAAGAATATCCCATGACGTCGGTTGAACAGAACAAGAGGTCGTTTTCCCCACGGAAAACACATCAACGCTCTACCCTTCATTCAGTTTTCAGGAAGGGTGAAAACACCGTGAATCGCCTCTCCCACGAAGTTTAAGTAGTTTCTATTACTACGGTAGAAGCCAGGAAAGTAAGGATATTTCATAACGATACAATTTATCCGAGGGAAAAGTGATGTGAAATTTTCTTTATATTGTAACAATCCTTGTGAATCTGTGTAACAGCGAAGCTTGGCTTGCACATGAACCTCCATTAAGCCCTAAGGGCGGACTTTGTCTATTCATAGTTCCAACCAAACTTTAAAAATGCAAGGTAAATATTAGTGGCACAGTCAGCCATTTTAGCATTATTATGTAATAATCTATGATAAAATATGATCGCAGAAACTTTGGCTTTTTTTTTCACATTTCTTCAAACAAAAGAAATAACCTTACCCCGCGTATGTTCCGGCAGGCAGAAAAAGGTTTTTCGATGTCCTTCTTCCAATTGAAGGGTGCAATTCCTTGGCGTGAGAATGCCATCCTATATGAGAATTTTGCCTGAGTACGGCAGCGAGTATCTGAATCCGCTGGCCCGATTTTTGGAGGAAACGATTATTGTACTTAGTTCCGATAGTTTTGAATACCTGGCGTGTGTTGAGAGTGAATGTATTTATTGGCGGGAATGTGTAGTGTAAGAGGGCTGAAGGATGAACATGAGTACCCCATAGACCCTCAATTCTATTAGTTATATAATATGTGTAAACAGTGATGGAAGAATATCGAGTACTACACCACCCTAATTGAGTGAATGGTATGTAAATGAAAAGAATGTATTTAAGAATGAGTGAGAGTTAATGAGTTTGGTTTTAGGAATTGCATGCGTTGGGTGCTGATATGACCTAGATGTTGACAGCTCCTGGGGCCAAACCACGGTGGCTAGACGGATAAGACCGAGGTCTCACCCCGGACTGGCACACCTCCTCCGACCCTCGAGGCCTGCGGGTGATTAATGTAAATTACAAAACCTGGAATTGCCGGTGAATCGCGAGAAGTGATAGGCTCAACTCTGTAAATGTGTGCATATATGTACATACATGCGCAGGTTGGAGCTTAAATAAATGCAAATTCAAAAACCATAAGCTCTACCTTATGAAAAGATATCATTATACTACATACTGATAGTTCTTTTGAGACTATTGCATAATTAAAAGTTCAAATTCGGCTAGGGATATATTCATCACGTTTGTTCTTGTCAGTACGATATTATCTAATAAAATATAATTTAAAACAATTAATAAAGTATGACCTGCTTCCTTAAAATAAAACGTTGAATATAATAATTAAATTCCCAACTTGATTGAAATAATTTTCTTTGTCAGCCATCTGTTCCTGATCACCCTGATTCGCCGATTTTCGCACTATTTTGTCGACAGATAATAAATACTCAATAATTCTTAAGAAAAGAATATATTAAAGAAGAGAAAAGAAAAAATTGCTAGCATTTTTAATCGGAATCGAGTCGTCTTTCTTCACTAAAGCTCAAAGTTGTAAACCAGGTAAACTTTGTTGCGTGGGGGATTAGGAAAGCCGATGAAGAAGTTCAACTTAAAATTTGAATAATAAATTCTACTTTGCACTTCCTAAAAAATTAAAAAGTCCTTTGTGTTGAAAATTACAACCATGAGCCGTGAGACAGATTTTGATAATACTTATCCTCCTAATCTCGCTGTAATTTCTCTGTAAAATGAGTTTTGCAGTCTGCAAAGACAACATCTTAAAATGAAAAGGTCTTCTTTTATCAAACAAAAAATTCTGATATGCATTATTGGCAAGGGCTCTTTTCCAAACCTCAAAAACCTAAGCATTTCATACGTCATATCGCCTCATTAGTTTGCTGCCATTCTTAGCAAAATCTACAACAAACCCCTCCTAGAAAGCTCCAATGTCATTTCAACCCTGAATTAATGAATTCAGATTCCGAAGACTTCAATCTACCATTAAACAGGATGGTAGACATTGCACTCTCTTGAGCGGAAGGATTGCTGCTCAGGTGCTTTCTTTGACGTAAGGCAAACCTTCGATTGAGTTTGGCACCCGGCTTGCTCTAGAACTCTCCGATAAGTACTTTCAAATACAAATCGGAAAAATCCTTCTCCCCTATCCATTCAAGTTCCGCAAGGCAAAATCATTGGTCTCTACTACTAACATGTTGGGTTAGTGCAAAATTAATGCACCACGTAAAAACTTGGTTGCAATGCACACTTCCATTATGTTTTATTTTTATAGTCATAAAAAGTTAGTAGTAATAAAAATAGTAAGCCATAAGGTATTATGGCTGTTTTTTCCGGGGATAGAAGTATGCTAAGCCCACACGACTATTGTGAATTCAGTGTGATGTTTCCTAGCGCCGTCCTTAGGGCAATTTTGCTTCACATTTATCACAATTGAAAATTTATTATAATGAAATTATTAAATAATTATCAACATAGGAACAGGGTAAAGTTTTATGATAAAATGTTTGAAAGTGGTAAGAAATTTTAAGTACTAAAGCATGATGAATTTATATAAATTAGCTTTCCATGTCAGAATATTTAGGGGAATGGCGAAAATTGAATAGGACAAACATAGCATTAAATAAATAAATATATAAGTAAATAATTAAATAAATAAGCCAATGATTAATTGTTTTTATTTGATTTTTTATTTATGACGTTAAATTGGCGTTCTATTTCGGGGGCTGGAAGTATGCTAAACCCGCACGACCGTTATGAATTCAAGGTGGTGTAGTTCCCAGCGCCGGTCTTACGGATTTTTATCAGATCTGACGAAACAGCAAGAATGGATGAAATCAAAATAGTAAAATATCAAACTCTTTAAAATATTTTTTTTTCTACTCCTCAATATGCAGATAGTACTTGCTCTTGAAACTCAAGGGCATCCTTCCATTAATTTATTACTTCATACTAAAATTCTATCTGTTCGATAGGTACTTTCTAGTACGAATTGGAAAATCCATTTCTCCATCAATTATGCCAAAGAGGGTGTTCCGCAAGGCAGCACCCTTGGTCCCATTCTCTTTCCAGTATACATACATACTTATACAGACATTTTTATCAATCTCGAATATGTCGACGATACCACCATCCTCTCAGCCAACCCAGACCCAGTAGTAGTCTTCAGAAATGTCCAGGAACATCTGTCTTGTTTGGAAGAATGGTTCAAGAATCAGACTCAACGAAACCAATTCCAGCAAATAACCTTCTCCTTATCACGTCTTCTCCAATCCATTACAAATTTGTTTCTCTTCTTGGAATCCCCACAGTGGACTCAAAAGAATGGAACTGAAGACGATATGAACTACTCAAAAGACTAATTTACCATCAATGGACGTACGGAATTGAAATATGAATTTCAACTAAGCATACCAACATCTAAACAATCCTGTTTCTACAGTCCAAAATCCTTCGAACCATTGTCCACGCCATCTACTTGGTATCTAGTCTTATAATGTATCAAACTTTCAAATCCCAGTTGTTAAAACTGCGAGGAGTCCACATAGACGCTTAAAACCCTGAATCTTCATCCTAACTCCAGTCTCTATCTTGATACAGCTAAATGCAAACGATACAGCTATTTTATCCATCTGTCCCTTCTTGAAGAATAGTTTAAGGAAAGGAGGAACATACTAAACGAAATCAAATCCTCTAATCTAAATACAGTTTGTCTGTTTGTTCCTCTCCCTGAATCTCTGTTGTCCGCTTTATGGGACTTTATGCCATAAAATAATTACTTGGAATATACTCGACTCAAAACAAGAACTGAACAGACGATATAAACTAGACAAAAATTATTTGAAAACAGATCAAAACTCGCACTGCAAAATAAACGTCTCAGGTACTTATCATTGTTACAACTATTCCCGCACGAAATTGAACTATCAAAAGAATCGCTCCAGTCCAAAATCCTTCGAACCATTGCCAAAGCTCCCTATTTTGTACCTTACAATCCCCCAAACCTTCAAATCCCAGTTGTTCTCGAAATCGCAAGAAGTCGATACAGACGTTTCCATAAAACCCAGGGCTGTATATGTAACATAATAAAAAATATGTAATAAGAAATAATGCAAAAAGACAATGTGTAGTAAATTATGGCTGTGTTGTAAAATTCTTCTGAATAAACAATTTGACAAAAGGCTTAAGTTGTCCAACATGCGTTGAGTTATCTCACACGTTTGGCGAAATGGCTTTTCTTCTTGTTGGAAAATATTGTTTTTTATTTTTCGTTTTGCTTGAAAGTTTTTTATCCACACGAACCTTAAAGTTTCCGGTTTCAATCAATTGTTGTTTCATACTGGAAACTTCAAAAGAAAAAAAGTTCTTTCAAAAAGAGCCAGGGGAAATAAACTGTTTGGGTTTATTCCTCGTGGATTTATGCATTTGAATAAGGAGATAATTGAAAAATACGAGCGAATCTTGATTTGAGATCGGTTGTAAATTCGATTTACTGATTCTGAGTGCTTAGTTGATGTTAGTTGGGTTCAACTAGATTTTATTTTAAAAACACAAAATTCCAAGAATGTTTGTTTTTTAAGTAATCCTATATTTAACAAAACGCCCAGAAATTGAAACTTTAGTTTGGCCTCTGACGTTAATCGAATATTAATCAAAGGTCATGTTGTCTGGTTTTCACCAACTATGGAACAATGTTACCGATATAGATCGCCCGGTACAAACCTTTGGATATAAGGACCAGGGCTGTGATTGATGGGATCCTGCCACTCTTGTTTATTAAAACGTTGTCTTTGTCGGGTCGTTTATGACAAAACTACGGCTAAATCCTGCTGAAGTTTGAATTTACATAAAACTACACTTTCCTTCATGTTAGCTTTCTCTTTTCCATCAGGACCCAGATGAACGAAGGCTTTATTTCTG